GCACCAGCTTCTCGGCCATCTTCCTGCCCGGCTTGGCTCAGGGCTTCGGTGCCTCCTGTGACAGTCCTGGGAGGACAAGGACACAGGGGAGTGGAGGAAGAGCCCTGAAAGGGGTTGCGCAGCCTCTTACCCTCTGCGACTCGGCCAGCAGGGAGGTGCAATCCTGGAAATCGGGGAAGACAGCACTTCCTCACCCAGGAACAATGATCAAGGTGGCTTCCTTGCAGGCAAAGTTTTCCTTCCTCGCCCTTTTTTCAGTGTCCCAACTCTTCCTCACCCTGCCTGGCATCCCAATACTGTCCTTCGCTCTGCCGTGGGAGACGGTGGCCATCCTATGCCCTGGCATTGGGGTGCACCTCCCCTGCCGCAGCCTGCGCCAGCCCTCACTCTGGTGCCCATCCCCAGAACGCTAAGCTGCCCTCAGGGGCCGGGATTGGGGGGGAGAAGGGAGGGTTTCCATGAAAAGCAGCAGCTGCCTCCCGCCATCCGCCTCGCTCCAGCAGCCGCGAAGGGCTGGGAGCATCTCCCGGCCCCGCGCTGGTGGGTCGCCAATCCCGAGCAGGTGGCTGCAGGTGGACTGGGATGGAGGGGGGGTGCGGGGCTCCCCGCATGCGGGGGAAGCCATCTCCCCACGGCATCCCTGCCCGCCCCGGGGGATGCGGGCGGGCTGGGGGGGGGGACACCTACCTGGGCGAGCGAGGCTGGCCGGCTGCAGGGCTGCCGTGCCCGGGCCGGGGATGGCGGGGTCACCCCAACGGCACCGTGCCCGGCCCCACGCGGCTCCTGCGGGCCGGCTCCGCCGCACCCCCCGCGGCTGCCGGCAGATGTGGTGCCGTTTCCCCGCGCAGCAACAAGCGTTTCGGGGGGTGTGGGGGGGGGTGAGGCGGGGGGGGGGGGGGGGGGGGGGGGAAGCGGGGGCACCGCAGCGCTGCCGTCCCCCCCCACCCTTACTGGTCGCAGCCCCCCCCTCGCTGCGGGCCTCGCAACCCCCCCTTCCAACCCCGGGGCTGCCGGGTGCCGGGACTCCGCCGAGCATCCCGCAGCACGCCCGAGAGGGAGGAGGCGGAGCGCTTCCCCCCCCCGCCCCCCCCCCCCCCCCCCCCGCCCCGCACACACCTTGCACACCCCGAGCCGCCGCCGCCGCCGCTTGTGCAAGGTCGCTGTTCCTCCGGCCCCCGCCCGCCGCCCCGCAGCCCCCCCGGCCCCGCCGGGATGTGCCTCTGCAGGCGGCCCCGGCCCTGCCCCTGCGCCGCAAGCCCCGGCCTGCTCCCGCGCGGCGGGCGCTGCAGCGGCACGGGCGGCCCACGCACGGCCCCGAGCACGCGGGCACGGGCGGGCACCCGCACCGCCGCCGTGCACATACGTGTGCACCACCCACGCGGGCACATGCACGGGAATGGGAGAGCACATGCAGCGCCGCCGTGCACATACGTGTGCACCGCCCACGCGGGCACGGGCGGACACACCCCCGGCATGGGCGCGCACATGCACTGATGCCGTGCATATACGTGTGCACACTCCCACGCGCGTACGGGCATGCACAGCCCGGGCACGGGCAAGCACATGCATTGCAGCCGTGCACAGAAGTGTGCACATGCCCACACATGCACAGGTAGGCGCAGGCCAGGCACTGGCGAGCACATGTGCTGCAGCCGTGCACGCACAGGTGCACCACTCAGGCAGAGGAGAGTACATGCACCACCGCTGTGCACGTATGCTCGTACCACCCATATGGGCATGGACCAGCACATGTACAGGCACGGGTGAGCACAGGTACTATGGCCATGTACGTATGTGTGCACGCACCCATGCGTGCATCGGGCACGCACAGCTCTGGCATGGGTGAGCAAATGCACTGCTGCTGTAAACATACATGTGTCCACACCGATGCAGGCATGCATGTGTGCATGTTCGGGCATGCACACGCTCCACTGCCATGCACATATGTGTGCACACACCCACACGTGCACAGGCAAGCACATGCACCACCTCCATGCATCTATATGTGGATATTGCCATACATGCACGGGCATGCATAGGCATGGGTGAGCACATGCACTGACGCCTCCACACACCTACTTGTGCATGTGCTTACACACGCATACAAGCTGTACGAATGAACCAGCAGCATGTGCTCACAGCCCAGAGAGCCAACCGTGTCCTGGGTGCATCACCAGCAGCGTGGCCAGCAAGCTGAGGGAGGGCATTCTCGCCCTTTCCTCTGCTCGGGGGAGACCCACTGCCTCCAGCTCTGGGACCTCCAGCACAAGGAGGGCACGGACCTGTTGGAGCAGGTCCTGAGGAGGCCATGGGAATGGTCCGAGGGCTGGGACCCCTCTGCTAGGAGGAAAGGCTGAGGGAGTTGGGGTGGTTCAGCCTGGAAAGGAGAAGGCTCCGGGGAGACCTTATAGCAGTCTTTCAATACGTAAAGAAAGACGGAGAGAGACTTTTGTTACCAGGGCCTGTAGTGACAGGACAAGGGGCGACAGTTTAAACTGAAAGAGGGAAGGGTTAGTCTGGACATAAGGAGGAAATGTCTTGCGATGAGGGTGGTGAGACCCTGGAGCAGGGTGCCCAGAGAAGCTGTCGCTGCCTCCCCATCCCTGGAAGGGTCCAAGGTCAGGTTGGACGGGGCTTTGAGCAACCTCACCTAGGGGAAGATGTCCCTGCCCGTGGCAGGAGGGGTGGACTGGATGGTCTTAGAAGGTCCCTCCCAACCCAAATGCTTCCGTGGTTCTATGGTGCACATGCATGCAGACACTCCCACAAAGGTGTATTTCTATAGGAACATGCTCTGGAATGTGCACATGGAGATCACACACATGTGCACACATAGGGGTGTGCCCCCAAACATGCCACTGGGAGGGATCAAGGGTCTGTCCTTGCTTTGCACCCCATGGTGTACACGTGCCTGAGCCCTGCAGTGTTGGGTACCATGGCCCCTGGCGCCCAGCCCTCACTGGCTGCTGCTCTGGCCCCTCCGTGCTGGCAGCCAGGCCCAGACAAGAGTCTCCATCCTCCCCAGATCACAGCCTACCCCCCTGATGGGCCATGCTCGAGGGCCTGGGGCTCCCTCGTTCACCACATTGTATATGGCTTTGCTCTTTGGGCTGTAATAAGGAGGAGGGCCTGCTGTGGGGTTTGGACCTCCATGTTTTGGGACTCCCTGTTTCCCGCATGGAATAGGGGGCTGGCAGGGTTGGAGCTTGGCTCTCATTGAAGCATCACTACCCACCATGTCCTCATCCTCCCCCAGCTCCTGGTCCCTCAGGACCAAGGGTGTGGTATACAGGGGGATGCACCAGGGATCTGCAAAAGGGAGATATTACAGTGATGGGGAGACAGACAACAGAGCCAGGGCTACCCCAGCATGTCTGGGTCCTCTCCGCACCGATGGGACACTCAGCAGCCCTGCATGTTACAATGAGCCTGCTGGCCTGCAACTACCCTAGGGTCCCACTCAGGGATCCCCAGGACCCCCACCCCACGGCTGCATCCAGTGCAGGCACTGAAGGCCTCTTGTACTCAGCCACCTCACCGTGCCCTGGGTCCACGGTCCTGCCTGGCAGCAGTGGGAGCTGCATGGAGGGGCAAGAGGGTCTTGGACAGGCCATGAGGCACAGACACACGCATGCATTGTCACCCTCCCCATGTGCCTGTGGTGATCCATACACACGGCCCTGCACGAGTGGGACTGTCCATGCACATTCTCACCCACCTGTGCACGCATTCACCCATATGTGCTTATCTGCCTGTGCATTTGCTCACCTGTGTGTGCACACACCTGTGCATGCAGTCACGTGTGCACATCACGCATACGTGGACACATTGACCCATGTGTGTGTTCACCTGCATCTGCAGTCACTTGCTGCTGGTGCTTGTGCTCCCCAGCACGGGGCTGTGCTCCTCCCTGTGCACACACGCACAGTGTGTACTCACCTCTGTGTGCATGTGTGCTCACACGTGTGCGTGTATATTCACCTGTGCATGCGCATGGTCAGCTGTGTGAGCATGTATTCGCCTGTATTTGTGTTCACCCATGCGTGCTCACGTGCACGTGCCTGTATTCCCCCTTGCAGCGTGTGCTCACACTCAGCGTGCTTTCAGCCACCCACCTACATGCTCCCATGTGTGTTCTGTGTGTACCCCGACGTGCACTCACGTGTTCGCGCACACGCAACCCTGTGCACACGCGCTCACCCACACAAGCGTGGGCTCACACGCAAGCATCCTGCCGTGTTTCCGTGCCAACGTGCATGTGCACACGCTCCAACACCTGTGCGCGCACCCACCGCTCCGCGCCCGCCGCCCCAACGTGCGCGTGCCCACGCACACCTGCACTCACGCACCCACGCGTGTGCCGGCGCACGCGCCCGCCGTGCTCACGCGCGCGCTGGCGCCGCCCAGCGGCCGGCGCGGCCCCCGCACGGCGGCTCCCCCCGCCTCTTCCCGCGGCCGTGGGGGTCCCAGGCGTGGGCAGGGGGCTGCGCGGCCCGGGCACGGCGGGGGGTGCCCGGCTGAGACCCGGGGGGAGACATCTGGCCAGCAAGGGGATGGCGGCCGCGCCCCTCTGCGCCAGCCTGCCGTGCTGGGGTGAACCAGGGCACCCCACAGCCAGCTCAGCAGCAGCAGCACTGCACCACCCCCGGGGCGCTGCCTCTTCCGCAGGGCCACCCCCTCCCCAAAAGTTCTGGCAGCGATGCCGTGGCTGCGAGTGCCAGGGACAATGCTACAGCCATCACCCAAGCACTGTGCCTCAAGGGAGAGGTCCAGGCACTACACCCTGCCCGCCCTGACCCGTACCGGCAGCACTGGGCGGAGAGGGCCTCCCCACTCATGCCTGCACCTCAGGTGCCTGCGGAGCCACTGGGGCATTTGGGTCCCAAGAGCTTGCCAGGGCTTGGCTCACCACAGCTGGAGCATCCCTCCCACAGCGGGCACCCACCAGCCCGATGCCGCTGGCTAGGGATGCAGGCACAAACCATGCAAGACACAGCTCCGGCAGTTGTGCAGCTGCTGCTGCTCCTTTAGTGTGAGAAAGGCACAGTGGCACGCAAGGCACAGACACCAGCATGCTCCATGGGTGTGGTGACCTGCTGACAGCTCGAAGGTCACCGGCTGAGGGCTCACTCCCCCCTGTGAGCAGGATGCCCCCTACCTCCCAAGGGTGCATTCTTTGGTCCTAGCAGTGTCCCTGGACAGGCACCGGGGTGGCTGAGGAGGGGGGACATGTGCGGCATGGTATGAGCACTGCCTGCACCCTGGGGCTGGGCTGCACAGCTGTGGCCACCCCCAGAGGGTCTGGGGCCCACCCTGCTTCCCCAAAACACCTCCTCCACACACACCTCGAGTTGCTGCCAGTTGCATGAAACCCCTGTGCAAAATCAGCATCAAGGCACCTGCCCATCCTGTGGGGACAGACGGACAGTGGCAGGGCTGGAGGTGTGACGGAGGATGAAGTCTAAGTGCTATTTGGGGATGCTGCAGCACAGAGGAGGGGGACAGGAACCCCACTTCATCCTTAGCATAGATTTTCCTCCATTAGTCCCTCCCAGTGCAGAGGCAGAGGCTGGAGGCGAGGGCTGGACGAGGCTGGGTGGTCCCTGTGTCCACACCACTGGTGGCAGGAGCTAGCCACAGCCCCCAGTCTACTGCTCCCAGCACCCCATCCCCTGGCAGAGCACCATCCCAGGGGCACCCACTGCAGTGTCCCCCAGGAGAGGAGTGCATAGCACCCACCAGCAACCACCTCGGCCCCTCATGGCGCCTTGGGCTGGCAGGGAGCGGGTTAAGGACCTGTTGGCCAGGGCTATTGTTTCAGACACAATGGAGAGGAAGAGGATGCCGGAGGCCGAAATTCCTCCAGCTCCCACCGGACAGATGGACAGAGCTGGACAAACAGACTTGACGGGGCAAGGATGGTTTAACCCTTCCAGGTGCTGTGTGGGAATGCCCCAGGGCAGCCAAGGGGGTATTCAAGGCACGCTGTGCAGCACCAGCTGCAGGACAGGCACTGGTATCCAGGACAAGGTGGAGGGACCCGAGGGTGGGATCCATTCATCTATTCCTGCTGGGCCACAGGGTGCTGGGTGGCCACAGAGCCCAGTGCAGCTCTGTGGCATGAACCCCCCTGCCAGGGCCTGGACTGGCACCCCCTCCCCTGCTCGGTAAACCAGAAAAATAAATAAAAGGCAGGGGCTGGACAGACAGAGAGACGCACCGAGTCCCCAAGGGGCCAGATCCACTTTGGCAGCAAGCTGGGGCCATGACCAGGGTCCTTGGGGGAGGCTGGGCAGGGGGCTAGCAGCCCTTGGGGGCTTGGCCAAGGCTCTCACGCAGGCACCGGATCTGCTCCTGGCCCAGCTTGATCTTCTCCTCTAGCTCCCGCTGCTCGGCAATGAGGGCCGACTTCATCTTGACGAAGTGCTGGTAGTCCTGGAGGTGCTCGGCAGGCAGGTACCGTGCCACCATGGCACCCACCGCCTCCTCCCGCCGCCCCACATGCTCCTTCAGTTCCTTGGCGTCCTCCAGCTGCGCCACCAGCAGCCGCTGCTTCTCCCGCAGGGCCACCTGTGGGTGAGACAGACAGCATTGGCAGGGGGTCCTGCGCCCCAATGCCCCACAGGTGCTCCCCTGCCCCGTGCCCACCTTGTCCTCAGCAGGAGCGTGCGGCCCCAGGCTGCCCAAGGCGGTCTCCACCCTGGCCAGGCGCCCCGAGAGCGAGAGCAAGAGGTTGACCACCTTGTCCAGGTCGCCCACGAAGAGGCGGTACTTGTCGAACTCTCCCGGGGTGCAGAGGGCTTGCAGGCGGGCAGCCACGTCCTCGCCCAGTGCCCCGTTGGCACTGATGTCCTCCTGCAGCCCCCGCTGCGCCTCCCGCAGCACCGCCAGCTTGCGGCTCAGGCTCTCAATCAGCTGCAGCTGCGAGGGAAGGGATCTGACTGGGGCCACCCCCTGTGGGGACCATGGGACTGGCACACAGGTGCAGGGGTGCCGCGCTGCACTGGGCTCCACAGACTGCCAGCATCTGGCAGTGCCCCTGGTGCCCATGTGCTACTGGCAATGTCCCCGGTCCCTGCGAGCATCCGGCAATGTCCCACGCCCCGTGAGCATATAGCAATGCCCCCAGTTCCTTCAAGCACTCAGCAACGTCCCCAGTCCGTGTGAGCATTCAGGAACATCCCAATCCCTGCAAACACTGAGCAATGCCCCTGGCCCCCACAAGCATCTGACAACGGCCATGGCTCCCACAAGCATTCAGAGACACTCCCAAGGCCCCACAAGCACCCAACATGCCCCTGGTCCTCACAGGTACCTGGCAATGTCCCAGCCTCTGTGAGCATCCAGCAGTATCCCTGGTCCCCGAGACCATCTAGCAATGCCTCCGGTCCCCATGAGCACCCAGCGATGCCCCTAGTTCCCACGAATAACCAGTGATACCCCAGTCCACGTGAGCATCCAGCAATGCCCCCGGACCCCATGAACAGACACCTGGCGATGGCAGCAGGGAACCCCAAAGGCATCGTCCCCGGAAGTGCCCACTTTACCTTCTTTTCCACCAGCTCGTGGTCCACCTCCTCCTCCTCATCCTCCGAGCTCCCCTCCACCACCTCCGGCAGCTCCTTCACCTTGCCAAGCAGCTCAGCTTTGCCCACTACCGCACTGTAATATGCTGGGTAGGAGGTGGAGCTGGCAGTGCTCCCGGGGGGCGGTGAGATGGGCTCGAAGCCCTGCCTGTATGGACAGAGGCTCAGCACCAAGGGCGGCAAGGTGCAGCCTGTCCTCTGCACGGTGCCCAGTGCCATGCCAGCCCTACCTGTCCTGCGCCAGGGCATCCACGTGCCAGTCCTGCTGGAAACACTCCCGCCAGGCCTGCTGTTCCCCTGCCACCAGTAGCTCGCCCATCACCTTGGTGGTGGTGCACAGTGGGGCCGTGGGGGCCAGGATGCTGGCCAGGGAGTGGTCCCTGCCCACCACATCCCACAGCAGCTCATCTGAGTCCATGCGGCGGGGCTGGGGCCGGCGCCCCTGGCAGCTCGCCCCCTCCGCTGCTCCAGGGTTGGGCTTGGGTGCCTCTGGGGTGGCAGGGCGGGGGCCACCATGCAGGGGCAGAGAGCACTCACCCACCCTGCGGGGGCTGGCCCAGCCCCGCTCTTGGTTCCGGCAGAGCCTTTGGGCCTGCTCCTCCATCTCCCAGGGGTGCTTCACCTTCAGCCACTCCTCCCCGGCACCCGTCGCCCTGCCGACACCCACCCAGGGCACCCATGTCAACTCCTTTGCCCACCCGTGGGGGATGAGGACATGCAGGGCTGTGCCCAGCCCAGGGAAGAAGGTCAGGGACACCCCCTACCCCAAGAAAACCCCACAGCCCACCCCAAGGGGCGGATTAAGAAGCACTGACACAGGGTTCAAAGGGCCACATGGCCCCAGATGCCACCCCATGCCCAGGCTGTGCCCACAGCCCCACTCCCACCCCCATGCCGCAGCAGCACTTGCCTGCAAATCTCAGCACTGCCAGCATCGGGCTCAGGCGTCCCGCGGAGCAATCTGGGAGGCTCAGGTCGGGGCCAGGCACCTGGCGGGGCAGGTGGGCGAGCGGCATGCCCCCGGGACCGGCCCCCCTGCTCCCCAGTGAGGCTCTGCGACCGCTCGCGCACAGCCTCAGCAATGCTGCGGGTTGGCACCAGAGCAGCAGTGAAGGCAGAGCCATGCCCGGAACCATCCGGCAGGCGCTGGGATGTCCGGCGTTGCCTGTACTTCTCCCAGTTGGGGGGAGGTGGGCGGGGAGGTGGGGGGCCCTTCTTTTGGGGGATGCCGGGGGGGTCCAGCTTGGCACGGAGAAGGTCCCTCCGGTCGTGGCCCCGGGGGCTGGCAGGCTCCAGGTTGAGTTGGCTCTCAGAGAAGGCTCTGCCCCGCAGCGGGCGATGCAGGGGATCCGGGGGGCTCTCAGGGGGGTGGGCAAGGCGGTCACCATCCCATGAGAGGTTGTGCGTGGACGTAGCCCGGTAGCAGGACGGCCACTCTGGCTCGGCACTCTCAAAGCAGGGGTGGAAAGGGCTGAGCCTTGGGAAGCCCAGCTGGTAGTGGGAGAGCTCGCTGGGGAGAGAAGGGGGCACCCATTCCCCCCCATACAGTCAGTCCCTGGCAGCTCATGCACACCCCTACCTCAGTTTCCCCAGCTGGAGTCACCCAGCCCCGCTGGTGGTGGAAGCCTGGACTCTCCCAGTTTCCCCATGCTGGGTACAGCTCCCCCAGAGATGCCCCCAACTCTGTGGGGATAGGTAGGGAAGGACCCCCCTGTGCCATGGGCATTTCCTTACACCCTCAGGCCCTCCTTGGCCAAGGTGGCACAACATGCCCCGGCTTCACAGGGCACAGTGCGGCTGTGGCATTAAGAGAGGTGTCCTGCACATCACCAACTAAAATCACAGCAGTCCCCATGCCTCACTGGCAGAGGTCCCCACCGAGTGGCATGCACATCCCAGCACCTGGCACGGGCTCACCTGATGGACTGGCTGGCTTTCCTAGTTATCGCCGGCGGTTCCCACTCATCCGGAGGAAATTCCTGCATGGGGAGAGTGTGAAAGCAGGGTCAGCATCCTTGCTCCCCAGCACTCCCCTCCCCATCCCTGTCCAGGTACAGTAGGCATGCAGGTCTGCAGGGCACCCTGTGGGCACAGGACCCCCCAACCCAACCCGGGGTCGTGCTCCGGGAGTGCAGGGTGGTATCAGTGCTGCTCTCCAGCACAGTCCCAGGGGGCTCACTCACCGGGGTGAAAGTTCTCCGGGGGGGCCAGGCATCACTCTCCTCCCGTCCAGGGCGGGGGGCTGGGCAGTAGCAGTCGGGGCAGCGTGCCCAGGGCTGGGGGTGGCAGTGGCAGGCATGGCCACGGGGCAGCGGTGGGGGGCACAGGTCCCCCCCACAACAACGGCAGGACTCAGGGCGCAGGGGAACGCCGTAGGGGTAGGAGAAGCCCCGCAGGTACTCCAGCTCCCCTGGCCTCCCCAGAGGCTTGTAGCAGGGGGGCTGCTCCCGGCAGCACTCTGCATAGGGGCCAGCAGAGCCAGGGCGGCTTGGTGAGGGGGGGCTGTAGGGCTGGTCCATGGAGAGGCGGCGGGTGTCCCGGCACTCGGAGCCAGGGGGCTGGAAGGCACCGGGATCACCCGTCAGGGGCTTGCTGTGTCGGAGTGGCGCCGGCCGGCTGCTCTCCTCGAAGAACCGACGGCGATCGGCGAAGGGCAATAGGACGGCCTCATCGCTGCCCCGTGGCGGGGAGCTGGGGGCCGCCGGCCCGTGGCTGTAGCCCTCCTGCTTGCCAGGGCTGGCTGAGCTCTTTGGCTGCAGCTTGCGCTCCGGGGACCAGCGCCAGTGTCCCCGGCCCATTGGCACCGCCCGCTCAGGGGACAGGGGCCCTTTGGGGACCGGCAGCAGGTCAGGGGTGGGGATGTCCTGGTCCCCCGAGTGGCCAGGGTTCCTGCCGTCCTCACTCTGAGCGGGGCTGAGACACTTGGCTGGGGCGTGAGGTCCCTCCGCCGGCACACTGCCCTCGGGGGGCTCCTCCGCCTCCTCCACCGGCTCTTCACCAGGTGGTGGGGCACCTGGACCCCGGCTCTTCTGCAGCTGGGCCTTGCGCCGCTGGATCTCATTGCGCAAACTGGTGGCGAAGCGGTCGCTGCGGCGGCGCATCTGAGCGGAGCGGTGTGGAGGACCCCCAGCCCGCCGCCCCCCCGCTCGGCTCTCCTCCTCCGCTGGCCCCTCGGTGCCGCGCGCTGGGCTGGCTCCCTGCCCATCCTGCCCGCAGGCTCGCTGCAGCTCAGGGCAGCAGCGGCACGGCGGCAGGCGGCAGCATGTCTCTGGGCAGAGCGGGGGGTCCTGGGCGGCCGCTGCGGCCCCTGGCCGGCTGTCCTCGGGGTGCAGTGGGGATAGGGTCCAGCGGTGCCCATCGGGGGCTGGTGAGGCTCGCCCACTGCCAGCGCCCACCTGGAGGGAACGGAGCTGGGAGGCCAGCAGCTGCTCGGGAGCACTGTGCCGGTGCAGTGCGTGGCCCTTGAGGGGGGACAGCAATGGGCTGTCACCTGCTGCCACAGCATCCGGTGCTCGGTGCAGGCTGCCATCTGGGTACAGCCGGCTGCCAGGGTCCACGTTCTCCCCCAGGAGCGGCTCAGCTGGGCACCGGTCTGGGTGGGAGCTCAGCATGTAATACTGGTCAGCAGAGAGACGGTCCTTCGCGGAGGATGGCGCCAGTGTCCTCCCACCTGCAGCCTCCACCTCCCCATCCCGCTGGCAGAGGAAGGTGTCAGAGATCCACCGGCCCTTGGCGTGCAGCATGTCTGCTGACACCGATGCCCGGTGCCTGTCCCCTCTGCTGGCTGGGGCTGCCCGCAGGCTGTCCCTCCTGACAGGGGGCTGGGGGGGCATGGGCGCCCGCCAGGCCTCGGGGTGCCGGCTGGCAGGTGGCTCAGCCCCCGTGGTCAGGTAGCGCCCGTCAGAGGGCTTGCAGGGGCCTTGGAGGCCAGGGTCGACAGAGGCGGCTTCCTCAGGGCGGAGGGAGAGGGCGCAGTCGGAGGCGATGGAGCTGGCAGAGAAGGAGCTGTAGGCCGAGTCCCGCTTGCTGTGGTACATGCCCTGGTCAACGGGTGAGGGGTCCCCTTCATAGTAGGCCTGGCCGGGCTGGTCCAGGCTCTCCATGCTCCCGATGGAGCTGCTCCGGTCAGTGCTGCAGTGCCGGGACAGCGGGTTCCACTGCAGGGACAGCTCACTGCCGCCCGACCCCACGCCAGCGTTAGGGGCACCTGCCATCCCCCATCCAGCTCCCCTCCAGCCCCTCTGATGGGCACGAGATCCCAGGGAGCCGACACCCCACCACCACGTACACGCCACCCAGGAGAGGGGGGCACAGTCTGGCACAGCCCCAACCTGCCCTTCAGCCCCAGGTCTGGGGGCAGCACCGAGGTTGCCCTGGTGCTGGCAGGGGGAGCAGACACACGGACAGAGGGCACGCGTGGCTCTGGCCACTTGGGACCTGCCTGCTCTGGTGGGGGGGGCACCGGGACTCAGCAGCTCCTGGATGGCTCCGGCGGAGCCACCGCCCCTTCCTGCCGGGAGCCAGCGAGTAAACAGGCAGGGGAAAGGGCAGCGCAGCGGCAGGATGCGGGGGGATGCCCGACAGCAGCGTGGGGCAAGCAAGCAAGCACCCACCTCATACTCCCCCTGCCCCGACCCAAGTGGGTGCCCCATCCACCCCCTCCCCTTGTGCTGTCCCATGGGTCCCCCGGCGGGTGGGTCAGGGGTCTCACCTGACATCACACCCCGAGGGCCAGGAAAGGCTGAAGGCATCAGCGGGGCAGTGCATGGCAGGGGCGTCGGGGCGGCTTTCGGCAAGCTTGGCCACATGCCAGGAATGGGGCCGGAGGACGGGCACGTTCCTCCTGCCAAGAGCAACAGCAGGAGAGGACAAGAATGGGGAGGAAGCCAGGCTGAGGAACCGGGGCTGAAGTCACTTCCTACAAGGCTTCCTGTCCCCCCTAGGCCCGTGCCTGCCCGAGGGGGATGGCGGCAAGGAGGGTCCAGTCCTGACAGCACCCATTGCTGGGCAGGGGGATCCCATGGTTCCCCACTGCTGCCAGGGCTCCCCTGCCTGCAGCATCAACAGGGGGCCAAGGACCTGGCCCCAGTGCAGTCCACGGGTAACGCCCCGGCAAGGCGAGGGTCCCTGCTGGGACTGAACCAGCTTCACATGCACCCCAAGGGACCCCAGGGCCACATCTGTGTCCCTACCACAAGCCTGACCTTCTCCCCTTGTTCCTCGTTCCCTCAACATCTGCAGCAAGTGCCGGCCACCTCCTGTCCCCAGGGCGGGGTCCTGTGACAGGCCCCGTCCCACCCCTGTGCCAGGCAGCTATGGAGGTCTCCAGTCCCCCCAGCACACACAGACAGCGATGTCCAGTGCCACCACACAGACACGTGGGCAGATGCCACCCCTGGTACCCCCCCCAAATACCCAGTGATGCCCCAGTATCCACTGGGTGGGCAGAGAGGGTGGCAGGGACAAGCTGTGGGGTCAGCACAAGGGTCCCTCCCCTCCCAGAGCCCCTAGACTCACCATGGATGACGCTGAGCCCCAGCACAGGCCCGTGGCACCCCTTTCCCTGTGGGCAGTGCCCTGTACCGCCCCAGCCCCTGGGTGCCGCTGGAGCTGGAGCCCGGTCGGGATGCAGCCAGGGAGTGGATGTGGATTAGGTGGGGGCTGGGGGGGGACTGCAGGGCCTGGTCCTGCCTCTCCTTCCTTTCCCAGGCAAACGGCAAGCAGGCAGGCAGGAAGGGAGAGGAGCGGCTACGCTCCAGGATACCGCCCAGCAAGAGGGTGGCGAGCCCGCCACACTGCTCCAGCTCTGCTGGCAGCACACCCGGCTGGGGAACCCTCATCCACCATGGGGTGCTGGCAGCCACGGTGTGGCTGAACCCACCCTATTCCAACACAGGGCACCTCCAGGGTGGAGACGAGCACTGCTAGGCGCCTGTGCCAGGCTCCCGCTAGTCCCCCGGGCAGGTGATGACCCCCCAGCCTTGGTGCCACCACCTCCCCCTTGACCCCCAGCGCTGCCAACCTGCGGACGATCATCTTCAGGGTGCGGTAGGAGCCCTTGATGAGGATCAGAGCCTCCTGGCGGGACCCGTACAGCGGTGTTCCGCTGATGTTCACCAGCTCGTCGCCTGGCTGCAGCCGGCGTGACAGCGCGGCCTTGCCCCCGTCCTCCACCTGGGCGACAGAGAGTGGTTTTCAGGGTGGCAGAGCCCCCCAGAACACGCCAGGGGATGTGCTGCTGCAGCCAGGCACCAGGGGAGAAAGAGGCTTCAGAAAGGGGGTGCCGGCGCCCTGGGCACCATGGAGGGATCTGCAGTTCTGAGCTCCCCCTCTGCCCCGGTCACATGAATTTCTGAGCAAGGAAAGGGCATCAGAGAGGGGGGAGAAGAAAAATGTCCCGTCCTAGCAGAATCCCCCGCAGGCGCAGGCAGCACAAGGGCCCTTTGTCCAGCATGGATGCCAGCCCCCCGCTGCTGCTCCCAGCCTGTCGGGCCTGTCTGGGCACCGGTGGTTCTTTCAGTGCCCAAAGGATGCCATCACACCATGTGCACCCAGGGGAGCCAACGGCAGGGAAAGCACCAAGCTGTGCCCAGCCCTGGCACGGGCCTACCCCACCCTGGCACCCATGGCCGAAATGAGCCTGGTACCCCATACAACCATGGTTTGGAGGACACAGGGCCGTGGTGCCGCCGGCATGGTGGGGCCCCAGCCCGTTCCCTCTGCCCAGGCAGGTAGGTGCAGCATGGGCAGACCTGAGATGAGCAGTGCCCAGCTGGGGCAGGCAGAGCCCTGGTGCTGGCACTGATTCTGCCCATCCTGCCACTCGCAGTGGCCGGGGATCACCATGCCCAGCCCCTCACACTGCAGGGCTGGCAAGCTAGCCTGGCTCCTGGGCTGAGTGGTAGCAGTGGCAAGGGGCTTGCAGGCATGTGGGGCAGCACCTGGGTGACCTGTGCCCCCAGGCCCTGACCTGGCTGGACCCTACAGATGCCCACAGGGTGACAGACAGAGCTGGCCTGGCCCCGTGCTGGAGCTCCTGCACCCACCCTGTCCATGGGCTCCTCACCCTGCCTGACTGCTCCTGGCCTGGCAGAGAAACAAGCTCTGCCCATGGTGCCCACAGTGTCATCTCCACAGCCCAGCCTGTGCGGCTGCCAGGCTCCAGGGTCAGGAGTCCCCCACGGCTCCCTAGCAGGCCAGCCACCACACACGTGCTCCTGGGCACCCCTTCCCAGCCCTGGTGCTGAGCACAGATCAGGGGGCATCTCACTGCCCGTGGGCAACATGGCACCTGGAGAATGAGGCAGGGCAGCCAGGCCTCCCGCCCAGCCTGCCACTGCCCCATGGCTTTGCCTGGCATGGCTGTACCCAGCGCCCCACAGCTCTCCCACTTTTTCAGACTGGGGTATTGCAATGCCATGCCCAGGCTGGGCACAACCCAGTGCGCCTGCTTGTGCAAGCAAGCTGCCCTCCCAACCCCGGAGTCAGCCATGGGGCTGCCTTCCCGGCACAGGCCCCAGCTGCCTGCAAGGGCTTCCAGTCCCACCATGCACCCACTGAAGCAGCCACGTTTAACCCCTGCCACACTGCTGCCCACCACTGAGCAGCTCCATCAGAGCAGGCAGGCAGGGCAGGGTGCAGCTTCGTTCCAGTCCTCTGCCCCGCCATGTGCCCACCCCAGCCTGCCTACCATGGCCATGGGGCTGAGTCAGCGGTGATGAGTTCCCCCCACCCCCCCCTCCCCTCGCCCCCGGTGCAGGACACCGCCAGGGCTGCATCCGTGTCTGGGCCACCACGTGTGCCGGGATGGACAGGGCTCAGCCCTGGCAGCACTCACCAGGAGCTAAATCGGGCACAAACAGCCCCTTGTTCTTCCTTCGCCCCCAGTGAACGCAGAACTGGCATGCCAAACCCTGCTGCCTGCTGCCCTGTCACACCAGGCGAGCACTAGGCACTTCCTTGACACCACCCCTGGTGTTCACTCTGAGTCCTAATGGTGGGCACCAGCTGGCTCACAGGCCTATCTGCCTGTTCCAAGACAGACTTGTCTTAGGAGTCACAGCCACTCTGGTGCCTGAGCTGTGCCCACTGTGCCCCACACAGACCTCCCTCCTTGGCCCCAACGTGCCCAGAGGTGCTTGTGCTAGGGGGTGCTCAGCAGCCCCATGGCGAGCCCAGAGCCCACGCCAGCCCTGCCGTGGGACTCCCGCCACAGGAAGAGAACCCACCCGGAGCGGGCTCGGAAGCCAGACTGTCTCACCGAGCGCTGGGACCCCCTTCCCCTTTCCGGGGCGGGGCCCGGGCCCCCCCCTCGCCGCAGCCGGGGGCTGCCCCCTCCCCGCCCGGGCCGGCACGCACACACCTCGGCCGACCTCGGCGGCGGCGCGGGCGCCCCGGGGGACCCTCCCCTGAATGCACAGAGCGCTGGAACAAGCCCCCTTTGTCTGCAGAGCACACGCGGCGGCGGCGGCCCGGCCGGGGGAGCGCGGGGGCCGGCACCCCCGGCCCGCAAGGAAACACCCCCCCCCCAACCATTCTGGGCAGCGGTGGGGAACATCCCATGTCTCTCCCCATCCACTCCTCCACCAGCCGGCAGACCCACTGGGACCCACCGCCCCGAAGCCCGGCAGCAAACCGGGGGGCGGGCAGCGCCCACCCCCAGCCCCCGCCCGCCGGCGGTGCCACCCCAGGGCGCAGGGCAGGGACTGGAGCCACTTTTCCAGCTCCCCCAGCCAGACCACGCTACCCGCGTCCCGGCGCAGACCGTGGAGGGCCCCGGTGGGGCAGCCAGCCCGGCTCGGGGCAGGGAGGCAGCCCCGGCGCCGTGGCACGGCCCGGCCCGTCAGTACCTTGGCCCCGGCGGGACGGTGGCACCGGGTGGGCAGGCAGTCAGACCGCCCGGCGGCAGGGGCTCGGCCGGGCTCCGCGGGGGGGACAGGGTGCTGGGGCACGCCCGGCCGCTGCCCGGCTCCCCGCGGGTTTCGCAGGAGAGCGATGCCCTGGCGGGGCCGCGGGAGTTGGTGACCCCCTGCGTGGCGGGACGTCGCAGTAGTGGGGCCCCACCCTCGCCCTCCCCGCTCCCGGCTGCGGAAGGGACCCGGGCGGCCGAGCCCCGCGCCTCCCCCACTCGGCACCGCACCCCGAGCCCAGCCCCCTGTCCCGGGCACGGCCCTGCCCAAGCGTCTCGGCGGGGACGGGACGGGACGAGGCGGACTCTGGTCCCCCCCTACCACGGCCCCCCAAGGTCCCCACAAGAGCCCAGTCCCGGGATGCCCGTGGGCGCGGCACCCACGGCTGGGCATACGAAGGGGGAGGCTGTTCCCTCCCGCTGCGTCCCGCGGGACGGGACCGGGAGGGACGTGGAGGGGGACGCGGGAGCCGCCCCCGCCGCCAGCCCAACGGATGTGCCGGAGGAATTTCTTCCTGCCGCCGGGCCTGGGCTGTCCCTCCGCCCCCCCCGGCCCTCACGGCCCCCGCTCCCACTCCCCCTCGCGGCTCGGGGTGGCGGGTCGCGGAGGGACGTGGGCGCGGGCGGCCGCCACAGCCCCGCCCCGCCGGGACACGCGACTCCACGGCCGGGGCCGCCCGCGCCCCCAGCGCCGCCGCGCACCGACGGAGGCCCCTCGCGGGGGGATGCCGCGGACCCCACGCGGGACCACGTCCTGCAGCGCCTACCTTGGAGACGATGAGGGGCTCGCCGTGCTCCAGCCCGCCGCGCAGCGTGAAGCCCCAGGGCGCGCCCCCCTGCAGCTGCACATGCACGTACTGGGGGGCGCCGGGCCGGCCCTCGGCCCGTTCCATGGCCGCTACCGCCCCATCCCGGCCCGGCCCGGCCCGGCCCGGCCCCGCGGAGGAAATGACACTCCCGCCCGCCCGGGCCGAGCGGCGCAGAGCCCAGCGGCAGGGCGGGGCCGGCCCGGCACCGGGGCTGCTCCGCCGCCGCCAATGAGGCGCGGGGGGACGGCGGCGGTCGGCTGTGCACGGCTCGGCTCGGCTCGGCACGACGTAGCATGGCACGGCTCGGCTCAGCCTAGAACAGCACGGCACAGCTCGGTTTGGCGCAGTTCAGCTTGGCTTGCCTAGGCGCAGGATGGCTCGGCTCAGCATGGCATGGCACGGCTCAGCTTGGCATGGCTCAGCACAGGAACAGCACAGCCTGGCTTGGCACGGCGCGGCTCAGCCCAGTTCGGCACAGCCACGGCACAGCTCAGCTCAGCACGGCATGGCGCAGCTCAAGCACAGCTCATGGCACAGCTTGGCACGGGTCCGCTCGTGGCATGGCTCAGCACACAATGGCACAGCACAGCACCATGCTCCTCAGCTCAGCTTGGCTTGACATGGCATGGCTTGGCCCAGGGACCTGCACTGAGATGCTTGGCTCAGCTTGGCATGGCCCAGCCAGCATGGTTCAACTCAGTCTGGCTCATCCCAGCATGACACAACACGGAGGGCTGGCACAGTTCAGTTTAGCCCAGCCCAGCCCAGCTCAGCTCAACACATTTTGACTCACCTCGGCATGGGGTAGCAAGGGGGTCAGCACACATCGGCTGGCCCAGCATAGCTTGGCCCAGCATGCAGCTGTACGTGGTGCAGCTCAGCTGGGTTGGCACGTTTTGGCTTGGCTCAGCTCAGCATGGCATGACACGGGACTGGCATGGTTCAGCTTGCTAGAGCATGGCACAGCCAGGGGCCTGGCCTGCTTTGGTTCCACTTGGCCTGGCCCGGTTTCACCCAGTGCAATTCAGCTGGGGTTGACATGGACAAGCAGGGCTGGCACAGTTTGACTCGGCACAGCGTGGCCTGGCCTGGCTTAGCTTGGCCTGGCACAGTTCAGCACAGCATGGCCCAGTTTGGCCCAGCACAGCACAGTGCCGCCAGAGACCAGCACCATTAGGGCCAGCTTGGCACAGCTCAGCGCCTGGCACAGCACGGCTCAGCATGGTGTGGCCGGCAGCACTCATGGGTGCACAGGGGTGCCTGCTTGGGTAGCAGTGGGGTAATGCAGCACCCTCCACAGCTCCCCAGGGCAGAAGGCTCCCCGCAGCACCCCGCCCTGGCAATCATGCTGGCGCCCTGAGCCCCACTGCCTGCGGGCGAGCACACGCTGCCAGCTCCTGTCTGGCCTGCCCGTTCCAGCCCCCACCCTGTCCTGCCAGGCACCCCAGGGCGTGTGTGGCACTGTGGCTGTGCTTCACCTCCACCTCTCGCCCACCAGGTCCAGGAGGGTCTGCTGTGCCCCTCTGTGGAAACTGAGTCAGGGGAAGGAGGTGGCAGGCTGCAGCTGGGGGTGGTGGGAGTGGATCGGTGCTGGATCCCCAGGGAGCCCAGGAGTCCTGCTCCTCCCCTCCCCACCCGGGGCCCCGGCTCTTACTCATCTCCTTCCCAGACAGCTCAGCCGGCCTGGAAAGCTCTGCCCTGCCAGCAACGCCCGAGGCTCTGGCCTGCCTGCAGGCTGGGCGGATGCAGTACCAAGACCTGGGAGGGTGGGTTTGCTGTGCTGGGCTGGTGAGCTACCCCCAGGGTAGCTCAGCCCCAGTGCAGGAAGTTTTTCTTCTCAGCCAGCCCCCGTCCACCAATGCCTGCCTTGAACCCTGCCTGCACCCTGCCCAGCCCCACTGCAGGCAGCCCAGTACATGTGCCCCATAGGGGGGTCCCAGGGCATGGGGATGGGGCAGTCCCTGGGCTGTTTGGGGTGCTAGAGCCCACCCAGCAATGTTGCACAGCCCCCCTCACACAGCCTCAACATGTCCACCACGGCCCAACTCTCCTGCTCTCCCCCATGGCCTTGCCACCCACCTCGTGGTGCCCCCCAGCTCATGCCCAGCTCCTGCCATGCTCGGACTCTTCCTAGCCTCCACTGGGCTTGGCTGCCCCTGTGCCCTTTCCCAAATGAGTAACCAGGGCTGCTCGGCCACATGTGAGGACTCTGTGCCCTGGCTCATCACATGGCATCACACCCCATTAAGCACCACATCCCTCTCTGCGCTGGCAACCCCCCACATGGCCCTCCCAGACCATACCACCATGCCCAGCTGGCACCGGGAAGGGCTGGGAAGCACCCAGGTCAAGGCAGGCACCAACACACACCCCAGCTCCCTTCATGTGCCTATGCCTGCGCCAGTGGTTCCCAGCCAGAGCATCCGCTCCCTGGCCCCCTCCATCCTGGCAGGAGAGCAGCAGTGTCCTATGGGCTTGGCACCGCATCAGGCACTCTGCCAGGGTCATGAGCCATGGCTGCCGACACTCAACTCTGGTGCACCCACGGAGTCTGCCTCGGGCAGGCACCACAGAGCAGCACTGCAGCTGGGGGCAATGTCCCCTCTAAGGGCAATGCCTCAAATGACTCATGCCAGAAAGAGGGTTTGGCATCACTCTCGCAACCGCTTGGCCTTGGGCAGGTGCTGGCAGAAAGACCTTGGAGCCGGCGCAGCTGTGGGGATGGTGATGCCTGCAGTGTGAGTACCACTGGTTGACCTGTCCACACTCAGCACTGCTGGGCTCCAGGTTGCTCTGCCCACAGCTGTGCCTCAGTGTCATGGGCCCTGGGCTTGATGCCCGTCTCTCAGCTGGGGGAAGTGAGGCGCTGGGCAGCCTGGCTGTGCCATGGGGCTGGTCTGGGAGCAGATGCCCAGGTACTATGCCTGCTCTGGGCAGTGTGTACCAGCTTGCAGCAATGGGCACAAAGGTGCTGAGCCTGCTGCCAGAGATTCAGCACAGGGCAGGAGGGAGCTGGAGGGGCTCTCGCCACAGCAGCGCATTCTGCCAGGCTCCAGCTCCCGTACCCTGGGACCCAGGGAGCTCCTGGCCCTTTAAACCCTGATTGGGGCCATGCCTTTAAAATGGGCCCCGGGAGCCAAGACCTCTCACCCTGCAGGAGGAGGCTAGCCAGGAGCAGGTGGGCTGAGCAAGCTGGTCCTTCCCACCCACCCCACTTCACCCCGCCCTCCACCCCACTCCCTCAACCCTGCACTTTTACACCTCCTGAAGCCAGGCTTCTGACTGGCTGGATTTGCCCCAGTTTGGGTTTTAATCTGGAATTTGCACCCCTTTTTGCATCCCTTTTTGCATACAGAGACCCCCTCCACCTTTCTCTTCCTGTGCCAAGCTGAAGCAGCTGGTATGGTTGCCCTGGCTTGATAGCAGGTGGCACCACCCTGGGGTTTCCTTTTGCTTGTGCCTGCAACCTGCTCTGCCCCTCCACGGGGGGGAGAGGCATGAGGGCAAGCTCCCCCTAAGCCTGCTGCTGGCCAGCCCCACCTTGCTCTGCTCACCACAACCTCACCCCCTGCCCCCATCATGGCTTTGCTCCATCCCTTCACCAGCCTCTTCCTCCTCTTTGCTGTGCCCTTTTCCCGGGCTGCAAACAAGTCCCTGCTGCCCTCCAGCTCCCTGCCCGCCGTCCCCGCCCTGCCCCTCCTGCAGGCCCTGCAAGTGCAGGCACCAGGCAGCTGGGGCTGGCAAGCGGGGCCAGCAAGCGAGCAGCCCCTGCGCTACATGCTGAACCTATACCGGCGTGCTGCTGACCGCGAAGGACGACCCCGCCATGGCCGCAGCTTGGGCACCAACACTGTCCGCCTGGTCCGGGCCAGTTCCCACGGGGGTCAGCCCTGGGCAGGTAAGGAGCAGGTGGGCACCAAGGGCAGTATGGGGGCCTTAGTGGAGCCAGCAGGGTGGGCTTGAGCCCTGGGGGGGTCTCTGCCTGCCTCCTTCTCTCTCTTTACAGTGTCAGGGCCAGGGCTGGTATGTCCTGTGCCCTGCAGGGCTGCCCTTGGCTGTGGGATCCCCCTTAGCAGGGGGCCCAGTCTCTCTCTGCTCCAGGGGTGAGATGGACAAGGATATTGCTGGCCCTGTGTGCCCCTCTCCCCTTCCCATCCTGCCTGATGCTGTGCCAGGCCAGCGGTGTCAGTGCAGAGGATGTGGATTGTCCCAGTCACTCTGCCCTTTGCACCAGTGGTGAGCCGTGGCACATGGCTGCTGTTTGCTGAGGGTCCTGCCTTGTGCTGGGGCACCTGGCTGTCACAGGCTTTGAGGATGGTGATGCCATGGGCTCCCCTGCACCGTGCGGGCCTGTGGCAGCACCCTGGGAGAGGGCTGTGCTGGCACAGTTCCTGCTGTGCCATACTAGAGTAGCATTCACCGCTGCTTCCCTGCAGGTCGCTGGTATGTGCAGCCCCTCACCTACCGCCTGGAGAGCCAGCCCAAGGCCGAGCACCTCCTCCGAGCCATTGTGGTCTACTTGCCCAGCCTACCACTGGCCCGCAGTCGCCTCCTCTGCGCCCTGGAGCTGGTGGCCACCAGTGAAACTCCTGCGGTGCTGCTCAGCCCTGCTGCTCACTCCCGCCATGGCTGGGCTGAAGCAGATGTCACCCCTTACCTGGCACCCGGGAACAGCAGCACGGGGAGCCTGGTGCTGCGGCATGTCTGTGTGCATGCTGGTCGGGCAGGGGGTCATGATGCTCCAGTGGCCCCCAGCCCCCCGTTCCTCCTCCTCTACATCAACGACACCCAGGCTGGACTGGCACCTCCAGCGTCAGAGCCCCACCGTCACCGGCGTGACACGGGGACGCTGGTCCATGACCTGCCCAGCTACCTGCGGGAGCAAGGAGGGGAAAAGAGCGACTGTTCCCTGCGACCATTCCCTGTCAGCTTTGCCCAGCTGGGCTGGGACCACTGGATCATTGCTCCTCACCGCTACAACCCACGCTACTGCAAGGGCATCTGTCCCCGCCTGCTCCGCTACGACTACCACGCACCCAACCACGCCGTGGTGCAGAGCTTCGTCCATCAACTGGTGGATGCCAACGTGCCCCGGCCCTCTTGTGTCCCCTACCGCTACAGTCCCATCAGCGTCCTCATGATCGAGCGTGATGGCGGCATCCTCTACAAGGAGTATGAGAACATGATTGCAGAGTCCTGCACCTGCCGGTAATGCCTGCTGCCCTGGCACGTCGTCCCCAGGTTCTGTCTGTCCCTGCTGGATCTGGACTTTAGGGTTTGTCTTGCTGCTCTGGGGGTGGGTTCATCCCCCTCTCCCTGTGCAGCACTGCTCTGTGGGAAGGTTTTACAATGGCAGTTTTATGTAAATTGTAGGTTTTTAAAGGCAGGAGCCTGTGCTGGGGTGGTTGCCCTGTGGTATCTGTCCTTCCTGCAGCCCCATGGCTGCTGCCTGTCTTTGGGGGGCAGGGGGGGCTTGGCCTAATGCTCCCAGAGAGGAGCTGGGTCCCTGGACTGGAGCACAAAGCTCTTAGGAGGCCACTGGGGGTCTCCTGGTGGAGCCAGAGCAGGGAGGGAGAGCGGTCCAGTGGTCCACGTGCTTGGCACCAAGCTGGTGCCATCAGTATCCAGCAGAACCCTGCCCATGGGATTGCTTCCCAGCTCACATGCACCCTATCCTGTCTGGTCCTAGCTGCAGTGGCATCTGACTGGGCTGGGAATTGGGCTGGGGGAGGGCTGGGAAGCCCTTCTCCTCACCTGCAGTTCTGCTCTGGAGGGCTGTGAAAACTGGAGGTACCTCAGCCTACAGCTGTGCTCCCAGTGCCAGGGGCCAGGCAGGCAGCTATCTGCCCTGGGCTCTGCCCGCTGCTTCCTCTGCCACCCCTGTCCTTTACCTCCTTGGCTTGCCCTCTAGTAGGGCTTGGGTCTCACCCCGTCCCAGGGGTCAGACCACCGTTGTGGTGTCCCTCTGTCTTCTCGCACCCTTGCTGTCTCCTGGGGTTTGGGCTCTTCTGGAGCCCTAGCCTGTCCCCATTCCCAGAGGGGTCTGTCCCACTCCCAGCACCCCTACTGCCTGGCTCTTCTCTATTTATTGCTGACCATGTAAATAAATAAATGGATGGATTTTGCTAAAGGCCATCTCAGCCTGTTCTTGCTCTGTCTCTGGGGTGCCACAGGTGTCCCCCAGGACGGGCTGGCATAGACTCTGTCACCATGCAGCATCACCCTTGTGCTTGTGCTGGAGGGGGCGGATGCTGCTCCCTGCTGTGTGCAGGGGCTAAATCCCATCTGGTTCAAGCAGGAGCTGGAAGAAGAGGCTCCCCTGAAGCAGCAGGGACTGCATGTGGTTGCAGACAGCTGCCTTAATGGAGCTGGGGACAAGAGATTCTGCATCCTTCTGTAGGGGGCAGCTCCTGGGGGACCATGGGGATCCCATGGGCTGGATCCCCCTGGGCTGACTGTCACTGGCCAAGGCATTTAGCTGTCACGGTTATTTTGGGAAAGTGTCTGCAGGCAAACATGCCTGTTCCTGGGCACGTTGCTCTGTGTTTGTAAAGCTGGGGCATGGGTGGCAGCTGTAATCCTTGTCCCCAGTGCTTGGTGGCACCGCCACCTGCCAGCTGGGTACTATCTCTGCATCCTCAGCTCATGGCTCTTGCCTGGGTCTCGTATCTTGCTTGGCCTCTAGCCCTAGCTGTTACTGCTGGCTCAAGCTCCAGGGGGATTTTTCAGCACTTCTTCCTTCCTGTGGTCATTTGCTGTGGGACAGGGTGCTGCTAGCTCCCATCCCTCCCCTACCCAGCAGCCACAAAGTTTCTCCCACACCCTGGCAGAGCAAGAAGCTGCAGAGCCCTGGGCTCCTCTCCTGCCCCTTGTCTCCAGTTGGCTGCATTCTGGACAGCTGCGGAGAGGGGAATGTCTTCTGCTCTTTTGGAAGCTCACAGACCTGACCCCAGGGGAAGATTTTCCCTTGTCAATCATTAAGCGTGTGGTGTTGACTCATCCAGGCAAGTGATGATGAAAGGCATGGGAGCTGGACATGCTCCCAGCCCTGGGAACCACTGGATGCCAGTGCCCAGTGCTGGACCTGGCAGGGACCTGCACCCTGGCTTACTGTGGGCACCCCTCAGACCTGCTGGGTGCCCAGAGACAGATGGACACTGGGGTTTGTCTGTCCCAGACTTGAGTCCTCACACACACTGTGCTGGTGGGCTGTTGGGCTGGATCCTTTCCTGAGGTACCCCCAGACACCAAGGGGCTGCCCCAGCAGTGTGATCTCCTCTGCACTGGTGGCAGGGCAAAGGCTGCCAAAGGGATGGAGAAGCAGCAGTTCAGGTAAACAGTCGCTGTCCCCGGCTGACCGTGGCACTGTGCCTGCGTCAGCACTGGGGCTGCCAGGGCAGAGCAAGGTGGAGGGTGCAGGGCCCCCAGTCTGGTGCCTGGTGTATCTCAGGGGGTGGCTTTTCCTGTGGGTCCCACAGCTGTGTGAACCCTCTCAGGCACAGCCCCACACCCCATTGGTGCCAGCCCTGCAGGGAACACCAGAAGCCCTGGCTCTGGGGACATGCTCCCGCTCTGCATTCTGGCAGGGGTCTTGCATGTGGGGCTGCTGCTTGTGCTGGGGACTGTACCAGTCCCCTGGTCTGCTCCAGTCTAGCCAGCACATCCCTGCCCCAAACCCCATGCTGTGGCTTTGATCTGCCTCCACTGGGTCCCCATGCACTATGACTCCTGCTGCACAATCCAAGCAGGCACTGCCACCTTGTATGCCCCATCCTCTGGGGTGACACTGGGCAGGGAGGGGATGACCTGCCCCACATGCTTTAGCAGCAATGGGGCAAATCTGGGCTGGGCAGAACACAGGGGCAGTGAGTGTGGAGCTAACCCAGCTGTGGAGTGCAGCTGCCCCCCGGGGCACCCTGCCAGGGGCTGTAGCTGGGAGGCGGATGGTGATGCCCAGGCACTGGGTGCCTTGTGGATGCTCCACAGAGGCACTGGCAGCCCCCAGCTGGGGTGACAAGGGGCTGTCCTGCTGCCTGGGGCCACTCAAATATTTGTGCAGGGCCGTGACCGGGGAGGAGGAGTGCCCAGTGGAGGCACCAGACAGACGGAGTCAGCAACACCATGGCAGCCTCAGCCCCCGTCGCACCAGGCGCTGGCCGAGGTGGCAGGACCAGCGGGGCACCTCCTGCCCCCCTGGGCACTGCCACGAGTCTGGTGCTGCTCCTCTCTCTCCTCTTGCTTCTCCCCAGCACCCTCCAGGTGGGTCCAGGCAGGGGGGGCGGGCACCGGTGGCCAGCGGGCTCAACACCCCTCTCCCCGCCTCATTCGTCCCTCTGGGTGCTGCAGGAGCCCTGGGGTGCAGCGGGGCACACAGCCCCCCGGCTTCCCCGCATGACACCCTTCTGGAGGATGGTGGGCAACAGACCCCTGGGTGCCCACTGCCGGCACAGCCTCGAGTGCATCACCAGGGCCTGCAGGTGAGCAGGGACCCCCTGCCCAACCCCCGCATCACCCCCTGCCCAGTCTAGACTGTGTCCCTAGGACCCTGCACGTACCTCCATCCCCACAGTGCCTCCAGCCCTGGGTATCCCAATGTCCCCAGCCATGGGGCCCCACAAGTATCCCAACCCTGCCAGCCTCCTCAGCTCCGGGGGTTCTCCGCCCTGGAGCCCCCCACCCCTATGCCACTCCCTGCTGCCCTCAGCCCAGGGACCTCCCATGCACCCCGGTTCCAGTGTCTCCCAGTCCCAGTGCCCCCAGCCCAAGGACCCCACTGTGTCCAAGCCCCATCAGAGCCCAGATTTATCTCCCACCGCAGCTGCCCCCAGCCCTGGGATGCCTCCCCTCCAGGGACCCTGGCACAGTACTCATACCTGCTCTGCCCCACAGGGCTGGGCGCTGTGCCCCACCACAGTACGAGTGCTGACAGCCACCAGTAACCCCAGGAAAGCCCACCCCGCACTGGGAACATCAGAGACCAGGGCGCACCACGTGCTCACCGCCGGGACAGGACTCCTCGGCACCGTGTGCCTGGTGGGGCTGTGCTGGGGAAGGACTGTGCCCCTGAGCCCCCCCGGGCACCATGGTGGCTCAGCTGCTCTGGATGCTCTGTGCAGGCAATAAACCCGCTGCCCCCCTGCCTGCGTCCGGCAGCTTCCTGGCCCTGCCCACCCGTGTGAAGACAGGTGACATGGGTGCCTCTTGCCCGATGGGTGCCAAGTTCACCACAGCACCCGCTTGTCCTCCACCTGCCCAAGCAGGTTCCCGGGACAAGGGGTGCTGGGGTCCCCAGGAACCCACCACACTCACACATTGCCAGTGTGCCTGTGTGTGTGAGTGTCTGTGCACATGCACGCATGTCTGCCTGTACCTATACATGCAGGTGTGTGTATGTATATATGCCTGTGCCTATGTGTGTGCATACATGTGTGTGAACATAGGAATACATATGTGCACGGGAAGTTTACGTGTGTGCTTAGGTATATGTATGTCTATGTATATCTAGATCTGCATGTTTGTGTATACGTGGGCATGTATATGTGTGAACGCATGTGGATGTACATATGTACGTGCACATATTCGTGTCTCTGCATACGTATGTGTGCCTGTATGTGCCACATGTGTACGCGTGCTGTGTACACATGGAAGCGCAAGATTATGTACGCACAATTTTGTGCACGTGTGTGTGTGGTGTGTGTGCACACACGCCCATGCAGATGGGTGTGTGGGTGCACGCGTGCATACCTATAGGTGTGCATGTGTGCGTGTCCGTGCCTCTGGGTATGCCCCCACCTACGCGTGTGTCCACGTCTCCATACACCCACGCCGGCACGCGTGCCTGTGTGTCCGCCGGTATGCGCAGACTGGCACACGTGTCCGTGCGTCTGTCCGTACATTCCCATACCGGTCCGCGCGTCCGTCCCAGGCTGCGCAGCGCCGTACGGCCTCCGCCCGGCAGGGGGCGCCGCCCGCCGCCCGTCCCCCGGAGCCGCCATGGCGGCGGGTCCTGCCCCCTCGGTAGTGAGCGCCCGGGGCCCGGGGCCGCCGCCGCTGGCGGAGAGCGCGGGCAGCGCGGGCGAGAGGCGGCCCCGAAGCGCTCGCCGTGCTGGGGGCAGCGCTGGCGGCGGCAGCGGGCGAGCGCTGCGGGGGGGCAGTGGGGCGCGGGGGTGCTGCCGGGACCCGGGGCGGGGCGGGGCGGGGCGGTCTCCCCCCCTCCCCGCCCCTGCCGTCCCGCCGGTGAGCACGGTGCCTTGCCGGTCCCGGTGCCGTCGCCGCTATGCGCAGCCGGAGCAACTCGGGCGTGCGGCTGGATGGCTACGCGCGTCTGGTGCAGCAGACCATCCTCCGGCACCAGGTACGCGGCCCGCCCGGGGCGGGGCGGAGCGGGGCGGGCGGGCCCCGCCTCAGCGCGGGCCCCGGGGCGCCCCTGGACCGGGGCAGCTGCCGCCTGGCCCTGCAGGCCGGGTCCGGCGGCGTTAATCGGGAAGGGGGGCTTCGGCCCCTTGGTGCGGCTCCCCTCCGCAGGACGCGGTGACGGGCCTGCTCCCGGCCAGCGCTGACCACCAGGACGCCTGGGTCCGGGACAACGTCTACAGCATCCTGGCCGTCTGGGGGCTGGGCCTGGCCTACCGCAAGAATGCCGACCGCGACGAGGACAAGGCCAAGGCCTACGAGCTGGAGCAGGTAGGAGGGACGGCCCGCAGCAGCTGCCCCAGCCTGGCCGGTAGTACCCGAGAGCCAGACATCGCCTCCTGACCGGTTTATTTTTGGCGTGGCCCAGCTCTGGGGCTGAAAGGTCACGGGACACTGTGCAGCGAGGATGGGGCCCGGGCTGTCCCCAGGCACGGCGGGCAGTAGGAAGAGGTGTCAGAGCCCGCTCTTCCCGGAGCGCACGGGAGCCCAGCTGGCAGGTTCAGCCCCCTGGCTCTGGGGTGATGTGGGGACGCAGCCCTTCTCCCAAGGGCTGGGGAGCTGTGTCCTGCAGGCATGCCCTCCCTCTCCCTGCACAGTTCGGCAGCTTGGCCTTGCTGGTTGGCCAAGAAGTCTTGCCTCCCTCTGTTACCGCCCAGAGAGCAGGGGGCCGTGGAAATGTGAGCAGGGGCTCCAATTACAGATGCCGGAGCCCCACAAAGGTCAGCGGCCAGCTGATCCTGAGTCAGGGCTTTTCCTGGCTGCATGGGGATTAATGAGGCTGTTTTCCTTGTTCCTGCAGAGCGTGGTGAAGCTAATGCGGGGGCTGCTCCAGTGCATGATGAGACAGGTAGGGGCTGGGGAGCACCTCCAAGAGTCAAGTGGTCTCAAAGCCCAGCTCTGCCACAAAGACTGTTGGTCCCAGCTGTGCCAGCTCTCCCCAGCCTTCCCTGATGAGTGGAAGGAAGACCCCCTTCTAGCAAGTCTTGAAATAAGCTCTGACTTGGCATCTGTCCCTGGTGTGATGGAATTCCCAGTGCTGTGCAGGCTGGTGGCCAATGGAGCCTTTGCCAGCTGCTTCCTGTCTTGTGGCCTGGCTGGTGCTGGGACTCCACAGCTCTTCTCCCCGAGGGCATTTCGGGCGACCCTTTTCTCTCCACATGGTACATTGTGGCTGGGGGCCCTCCATGGCTGCAGTCCTGCGCTAGGGTGGCACGTGAGCCTGTGCTCACTGCCTTGGTCCGTGGAAGGGCTTAGCCTGGGAGCTGTAGGATTTCTGCCCTTCCAGGCACAGCTCTGCATGCTGGGCTGATGACACGGGGCAGCCCGTGGCTCTGGGGCTCCCAGACCTCTCTGGAGACAGGGTTTGATGAACCCCGCGTCTCCTTGCCCTTCTCAAGGTGGACAAGGTGGAGGCGTTCAAGTACAGCCAGAGCACCAGGGACTGCCTGCATGCCAAGTACAACACCCACACCTGTGCCACAGTGGTGGGGGACCACGAATGGGGTCACCTACAGATGGATGCCACTTCCCTCTACCTGCTCATGCTGGCGCAAATGACGGCCTCAGGTGATGCTCTTGGGGGATGCCATTGCAGCTTTGAGCACACTGATCTCCAGGGCTCTCCACATTCTCAGTTTGAGTGCAGCTTCCTGGATGTCAAGTTGCTGCAATGGCTTCCCTGACCTCACTGTTTTCTGACACTCACAGCACCCGAGGTGGATTTGGTCTCCTTCATGTCTGTCTCTCTAAGATCCCCTGCTTGCCTGAAGCCCCAGGGCTGCCATAGGGGGTGGGAGTGGGGATGGGAGCCAGCCAGGATGTGGCTCCTGTGCGACAGGCATGCAGTGAGGAGGAGGACTAATCCAGACTGGATTACTGCAGCCCCTTCTTAAGCATGCCTGTGGGTTTGGAGTGACTAATGTGAACTCCTCCCCCTGCTTCAGGCCTCCACATAATTCACAGCCTGGATGAAGTCAACTTTATCCAAAACCTTGTGTTCTACATTGAAGCAGCCTACAAAACTGCGGTGGGTAGCCGGTGCTGGGGGAGTATGTCCTGGGTGTGCAAGTGGTGGGCTGGTGGGCAGCTGTGCGTCCCTCCTGAGCCACAGCAGGCAGAGTCCCATGGCGCCTGCTGGGAGCACCACCAATGGGTGGGATTTGAACAGTTTCTGGGTGTGCTGTGAACTGCTGCTGGCTCCAACATGCTGCTGCCTCTGTGCAGGACTTTGGAATATGGGAGCGTGGGGACAAGACGAACCAGGGCATCACTGAGTTGAATGCTAGCTCTGTTGGCATGGCCAAGGTAAGCTGGGGGGAGGTGCTGGGTGGGTGCTGGGGAGCACTGGTGGTCCTGTGCTGCTTTTCTGCAGGGAAGGCTCTGCTCAATGCCCCATGCGGTGATAGGTTCCTGGAGAGGAAAATCTTTCTCCTTGTGTGCTGGCATTAAACTGTGCCCCTCTTGCCTGAGTTTTGCCTGAACTGGGAGTGAGAAATTAACTGAGGTGTGTGGCAGAAATGTCCAGGGCCCTGTTGGTGTCTGGCTACCTGTGGCTTGGGAGGTGTGGCCACGTTCTGATCAGGAGTGCTCTGCAGCCACAGCAGCGTTTAAATTTGTTTAAATTTGGGCAGTGTGTTAAACAGGGGGGCTGGCACCGTGTGAGAGCTCTTACAGATGAGCAGTGTCGTGAAGGACTTGCTGCTTTGGGTCTTGCCCTGCTTACAGGCTGCCCTGGAGGCACTGGATGAGCTGGATCTCTTTGGAGCAAAGGGAGGCCCACAGTCGGTGATCCAGGTGCTGTCAGATGAAGTGCAGCACTGTCAGGTGAGACCTGCATGGGCTTTACACCACTGCAGGATGAACTGTGATCCGCTGAGGTTGCGTTGTGAATGATGCCTGGCCTTGTAACCTAACCATCCCTCCTTCCCCTTCACCCAGTCCATCCTCCACTCGATGCTGCCCAGGGCCTCCACGTCCAAGGAGGTGGATGCCAGTGTGCTCTCTGTTATCTCCTACCCAGCGTTTGCTGTGGAGGACAGCAAACTGGTAGAAATCACCAAGCAAGAGATCATCACGAAGCTGCAGGTGAGCAGGCTCTGCCCTTGTCATGCCCTTCCCAGGAGACTGATGCGGTCCAAACTGTTGTAGCACTTTTCTCCCCAAAAACATGCTCAGGGAGGGGGTGGTGGGGCATGTCCCCTCTCAGTCTCCATGACCTGTGGCAGGTGTGTGCAAAGAAGCAGTCCTGTGTGCTGTGGCCCTAGGCTGTGATGCTGGTGCCTGGGCACTAGGTGAGCAAGTGAGGGGCTATTTGGTTGGAGGAGATGCCCCCATGCTTCTGCATTTAAGGTACAAGGTATCTCACACTGCCTCCTGCTCAGCACCTCTTCCTTTCTCTTCCAGGGGCGCTACGGTTGCTGCCGCTTCCTCCGAGATGGATACAGGACCCCCAAAGAGGTAAGTGTCCCCAGCCCTGCCACCTGACAGAACTTGAGTGCCAAGCAGCAGCTGCCCTGGTTTGTGTTTGCAGCTCCCCCCCCCCAGCCCCCCCCCGCATGCAGTGCAAAGGCTGTGGTGAGGAGCACTGGGAAGACAGGAGTCCTGAGTAGCCCCAGGCAGTGTCGTGGGTCTGGGCAAGGCTTCCCAAAACGCCAGAGGATGTTTCAGAGGGGGTACATCCCACCCGTGGCCATAGCAGATGGGCAGTGGCTGGCTTTGCCTGCATTTTGGGACCTGGTGGTGATGTGTATCTCTTAGGCTGGAGCAAGATGGGACCACTGCCCTGTGTGGGAGCTCTGCCAAGGTGGGCTTTTTCCCTGGCTCTCCCAGGGCTGCACAAGCCCTGGGTGAGGGCTGGAGGCCTGTGGAGGTGACTGTGCAGTGCTCCTCCCTGATCGCCTCGGCTCTGTGGCAGTGCTGGAAGTCACAAAACTGCTTCTTCCTCTCCTGGGACAGCAGACAACTTGTGTACTGCCACATTTGGCTCTCAGCAGAGCGAGCACAGACTTTCTTCTGTTGCTTTGGGGAGGGAAAACAGCAAAATTTTAGAAGCAACAGTCAGTCACATTTGATAACCACAGAACCGGGAAATGACGCTTGGAGGTTCTTAAATCATCACTGGCTGTTGGGCCTGTAACCTGATGGGGCTCCTTTGGGCATGAGTGCCTCTAAATGCTTCCCTTCTGTGCCTCTTCAGACCTGACCATAATAGGCAGTGTGTGTGGCTGTGTCTCTCCAGAGCCAGAGAAGAGTAGCAGCATCTCGAGTCTGACTTTCCCAGCCCTCACAAGTTTTGCCAGTGTGCAGAGCCATGGATTACTTCTGGGGAGCTGCGAGGCACGGGAAGGGCAGCATTGCTTGCAGAGGCACTGCAGCTGGCTGGAGTCAAATGGGAATTTAGGAGCTTGTGGCCGGTGTGCAGTAACTATAGAAAACATCTGCTCTCTCTGTCTGACAGTCTGCTAGGGCCAGCTCTTACCCTTCTCTGTAGCAAACAGAGTTAAACCAGCTAGCCTGGAGGGTCAAGCATAGATCCTTTGGGGCATTATACCACGCACATCTGGGATGGGAGGATTCAGCAACGGCAGCTCTGTGTTCTGACCACTTCCCTTGTCAGGCTCGCAGTCACACCAAATGGCAGGAGGGACACTACTCTCTGGCCCTGCGTTACCAGCCCAAGCCCTCACACCTGTCTGGGCCAGCCTGGTGATGCTGGAGGAGGCAGGTGCTGAGGGGCTGGGGCAGAGCAGGCAGGGTGAAGGGGAGGCAGCTGTCCCTGGTGCAGCAAGTGGGATGTTGTGCTGCTGTACAAGGCTCTGGGGTGCTCTCCTGGGGACTGGGTAGGCTCCCGTTGCCCAGGAAGGGTGAATCCCTTCAGCGTTAGCGCGGGAGTCTTGGGAGGGGATGTCTGATGGAAAGGACACAGCCTGGAGGTGAAACTGCTTTTTGGCCCCGTCTCAGCCATCATCTCTGCAGGGGACCGGGAGGGTATTTGAGGCTGGGGTCCTGGGGTGAGTAGGAGCCCTGTCAGTTTTAGGGGATCCTGCCACCCACCATCTGCCTTGCTGTCACACCCTCCCTGTAGGACCCCAACCGCCTCTACTATGAACCTGCTGAGCTGAAGCTGTTTGAGAACATCGAGTGTGAGTGGCCTCTCTTCTGGGCATACTTGATCATTGATGGGATTTTCAGCGGAAACATGGAGCAGGTAAGGGGGGGTAGGACCTGCTGGGCCAGTAGAAAGAAGTCCCTGGCAAGGGAGGCATGTGGGGGAAGGATGCAGGGGAGCCATGACCCGGGACAGATCCTCTCTTACCTCTCCTCAGGTGCAGGAGTACCGGGAAGCACTTGAGGAGGTTCTAATCAAGGGGAAGAATGGGGTGCGCCTGGTGCCAGAGCTGTACAGTGTCCCGCCGGATAAGGTGAGTGGTCCTGAGATACGGTGGGAGTGGGAATGTCTCATTACCAGATAATTGGGTTTTAACTGCCGATTAATCCAAGTTGTTAGTAAAGTGGCACATGTGGTGTGTGGAAACCCCATGTAAATAAAGTGTGGCTTGGAACTAATAAAACCATGTTGGATAAATAAACTGCTTTTTTTCCCCAAAGCATTTCTTGCCCCCATACACAAGGGTGCTTTTCTGTCAGTCTGCTAGCCTGGAGTCAGAGTCCTCTGAGAGCTTGGGCCGAGGAGATTGTGCTGAGGTCCCGTTTGGTAGTGAGGGTGTTTATGTGTGTCTGGGCTGAGAGCAACAGCTTCCTGGTGCCCAGGTGGTACAGAAGAGTTGTTTTCCTCACCAGTATCTGAGAGCATCACCTGGGTTGCTCCTGGGGCATACCAGCCGTTCCTTTGGGATGGCCCCTGTTGGTAACCCAAACAAGGTCTGAGCAGCTGATCTGTTGTCTGAGATGGATGCCCGAGGCAAACACTAGAAAGGGGAGGAATGTAGCCAGAATGTTTTGGACCTTCTGTGGCAAATGCTTTTGTAGGCTCTCTTGTTTTAAGCCTTAAACTGCTGGACTTCAGAATGCAATGATGATGTTTCCTTCAGCATCCTGTCTCTGTGAATCCCTCCCTGACTTCCTGGCTTGTCTTTCAGGTGGATGAGGAGTACAGGAACCCCCACACTGTGGACAGGATACCCATGGGCAAGCTGCCGCTTATGTGGGGGCAGTCCCTCTACATCCTGGGCTGCCTGATGGCTGAGGTACAGTCACTCCTGGTGGTGGGGAGGGCTGTGGGGCCAGGCTCTGAGCTCTAAAATGGTAAATGCTGCCACCCGGAGCTACCTACAATGGGGAAGTTGCCACCTCCATCCCCGAGGACCTTTTAAAGGTGGGTCGCCTGTAAGCGTCACACGTTCTGCCCTGCCCGTGAAATGTTAATTACCTCATACTTATTTTTTCTCAGGGATTTATAGCTCCTGGTGAAATAGATCCCCTCAACCGCCGATTTGCGACTGTTCCCAAGCCTGATGTGGTGGTCCAAGGTGAGGGAAAGGGACCGGTCCCAAACCCCTGTGCCTGGCAGGCCTGGGGACTCTACCCATGTGGAATTCATGGAGGTGGCCCTGCTTGCTGGGTGGCTGACGGTGCAGCCAGATCTCAGCCCTGGAAAAGTGGGTATAAGATGGGGCCCAAGTCCTTCCACTCCACCCTGTGTTGCCCCAGGGAAATACCAGCTGCTATAGCCTTCTCTACAGAGAGGTTGAAAACTGTTCTGTCCTCCTGCTGCTCAACGGGGAGGGCTTGAGTGTAGTGTTAGGAAGAGGAAGACAGACCTCTTCAGTGGGAACTGGTTCCCAAAGGGACCCCAGACAGCTGCCTTTATGTGACGTGGTACCTTGTACGTGTCCCCAGGGGCCAGGGGCAGTGCTGTCACCCTTGTGCCCCTGCTGCACTGAGCCTGTTGTCCTCCCTCCGCAGTGTGCATCCTGGCAGAGACAGAGGGGATCAAGGCTGTCCTGAGGAAGGAGGACATCGATGTGGAGACTGTGGCAGATGTCTACCCCATCAGAGTGCAGCCTGCTCGCATCCTCAGCCACATCTATGCCCGGCTGGGTGAGCTGAGCTCCGTGCTCCTGCAGCAAAAGGGGTGCAGAAGGGTCTGTCCCATCCCCTGGCACTCCTGCTCATAGATGCTGATGTCCTGCCCTGCTGCTCTCTGCCTGGCTGATGAGGGCTCTGCTACTCATCCCTGGGCCTGGTAAAGCTACTCGTACACAAGGGGAACTAGGGTGGCAGGCAGTGCTATTCAGTGTGATTCTGAAAGGGATAAAGCTTTGGCGCTGCAGTTGCACAGTCGCCCCAGGGACAAGCAGAGGCTCTGATCCATATAGGATTGACCTGGTGTGGGCAGGAGCCAGCTTTTGTTCCTGGACCCAGATCTCAGTAGGGGAGGCAAGCCAGACCCCCAGAGAAGTGTCTCCTGCCAGGCCCTGGCTGAGAGAGGGAGCTGCTGTTGGAGAGTTGGCAGGGATGAGTGTGAGGTGAGGGTGTGCTCAGAGCTTTGCGTGCTCCTTCCCTGATGCTGCAACCCCTTTGGTCGTGGGGCTTGTGCAGGAGCTGGAGACCCAGCCTGGGCCAGAAGGGAAACCTGATCCACCATAGGCTGCACTTGCTGGCTAATTTAAGCCACCAAAAGGCCAAGTGTGACATGGGCAAAGCAGGCAGGGGAGCAGCCTGGCAGCTGCCAGGCCTGGTATGACCGAGGGGTGATGCTGCTGCTGTACTGTCCTGGGCTCTGGGAGTAATCCAGGAGCAATGGGAACGCTGATTGAGCTGTCAGCTTTGGGGGGCCAGCCCTGTGTAGGGTGGAACCCCTGGCCCTGCCCCAGCTTCTGACATCCCCAAAGACCTGGAGATGTGGCATGTTGCGGAGGTCAGGAGAGGCTGTATGTCCCTGTTTCAGCAAGAGGGCCTGGGTGTCTCTAGCCCCCTGGGCAGGACTGGGGGACAACCCCTTAGAGCTGTGCCAGCTTGACACAGGGTCCTGGGGTACCCCAACCACAAACCAGCGTTTTCTTGCTGGCTGGTAGCACAGAGGCCTGTCTCTGTTTGCTGCTGCATCCCCTTTTGTCAGGAGGCTTGCACTAAAAACTTCTCCTGTCCCTCTAGGCCGCAACAAGCAGATGTGCCTGACAGGACGGCCCTACCGGCACATGGGTGTCCTTGGGACCTCCAAGCTCTATAACATCAGGAAGAACATCTTTACCTTTACTCCACAAGTGGGTGACATTGCATGGGCTCATTCCCAGCTGTCATGTGATCTGGATCTGGGCAGGAGGTTTCTCCACTGACTGAGCGCTTGGAGTTGTTCTCGGGTGGCCCAACGCCCTCTGAACAGCCTGGGAGGGTGGAACAGCCTCAGCTCCATGGCATGCAGCAGCAGAGGTGGTCCTGGCTGTGTATGTGCTGGGAGGAGATGGTTTCAGCCTTCTGATGATCAGTGTTGGGTAAAATTCTCTTTGCCAACCCTAACAAGGACAGCAGGAGGAGGCTGATGGCAGGACAGGGATCCCTGTGTCCAGCATGATGTGGGGATGAGCAGGGTTGCAAACCTAGCACTGTGGGAAGTGCGTATTCGCTTGGGGTAGGCACAGCGTGGATTGGCTATGTGGGGCCCTGGTGGTGCTGCTGCTGAGCTGCGATGGTACCTCCTTGCAGTTGTTAGTGGCTAGCAGCTGCCCTGAGGGTTTAGCACCCCTTGCTAGACTATACTGGCACCTACCAAGTAAGGTGGGATGAGCTGTCAGTGCAAAAAAGCATCTCCCTTGTGTGCACTGTGTGGCTTGCCTGGCTTGGCTGTCTGTGGGAATACATGAGTGGCACCAAAGGGACATGGTGGCTGTGGGAAGGGCTGCTCACCTCTCCTGCTGTCCTTGCAGTTCATAGACCAGCAGCAGTTCTACCTGGCTCTCGACAATAAGATGATTGTGGAAATGCTGAGGACAGACCTCTCGTACCTCTGCAGTCGCTGGAGGATGACCGGGCGGCCGACCATCACCTTCCCCATCTCACACACCATGCTCGGTATAGATCTTCCAGCCCCACAAGGCGTTTGGCTAGAGCAGCCTGAGAAACAGCCTCTGGGGGTGGAGGGGGTAGGGCAGTCTGGGACCATCTTGGTAACGGGGACATGGTGGTGCTGGAATAGCCAGTAGCATCCCATAAAGAGTTTACCACTCAAAGGAGCCATACTGAGTTGGCAGCTGTCCTAGCAGCTAGTGGGGCTGCCTGCCAAGCACTAGTGCCTGCAGCTCAAGGGAAGTTTGCTGACATGGAGGTTTTCAGTCTCTGGGCAGCTAGGTTTGTTGGGAGGCTTTTTGGGAGCAAGACCCAAAAAATAATGCCCCTGTAAAAGTGTTCTTGGGGCTCTTCCTGCATCTGGACTCTTCACTAAGACTAACCACCTGCTAAAGGCTTTCCTAGACAACAGGGAGGGGAAAGCAGCAAACCAGAACGAGCAAATAGCTGTGTAGTGGTACAGAGCAAAACTGGCTTCTCTGGAGCCGCTCATAGCTTCCCCATGAGCCTGGTACAGGGAAGGGACTCTGTTCTGCTTTCAGGGCTTTTTGTCTCTCCTAGTGTACTTGAAATCCCTTTAGTGTCTTGAGTATTGCCCTTGCTGTGGCATCTTCTGCCCCTGACAGCAGCACCCCCTCTTCTGCCTTGTGTGAAAGCCAGGGACAGAGCAGGGGTCTTTCTGGGTGCAGCCCAAGGTGAAATCCCAGGAGCCTGGAGTGCATCTTGGCCTGGCTTTTCTGGAATCCAGCCTGGACAGTCCTGAATTTCCCTTTTTGGGTGGTGCTTTTGGTGCCACAGCCTGGATGGGTACTCCAGAGTAAGGGTCTGGCTGATGCCAAGGTGCTTTGCGTGTCTGCATGCCCACCTGGTCCTGTGTTACCTTCTGGGAGCCCATTTGAGTGGGAGAGCTTGACTGCCTGCGTCTGTGTCCCCAACAGATGAAACTGGCAGCAGTGTGCACCCCACTGTGCTGGCAACGCTGCGGAAGCTGCAGGATGGGTATTTTGGTGGTGCAAGGTGAGTGCAGCTTCCTGGGGTGCAGGAGGAGAGAGGGCTGGTGGCCTCCGAAAGCCTGGTTGTGAGGGTACCTGCTGGGCCTGAGCATCAGCTGTTGGGGAACAATGTGGAAGATAGATTGGGGTGTGCTAGGCTGTAATTGTACCCTGGGGATAAAATCCCAACAGAGGAAATGCAAGAGAGGACATATCTCTTCATGTCATTAAACCCATGGCTGCAGGATCTCTATAATAGCTTTTGTGCAGCCCTTCCATGCCAACCTGTGGCTGGAGGAGTTGCAGGCAGCTAAAGCAGGCACTGGGGCACATGTATGCTCCTGGGTGAGCGTGTCTCTCCCTGCTGAAGGGCCTGCCCTAGATCCAGGAGGCAAAGCCAAGGGTATGGCCTCTCCTTTTCTCTCTGTGTGACCTCCCTTTCTCTTGCCCAGGATCCAGACGGGTAAGTTGTCGGAGTTCCTGACAACATCATGCCGAACTCACCTCAGCTTTATGGACCCTGGACCAGAGGGTAAGGTCTTTGCCAAGAGTTATGAGCTCAGCTTTGAGGAGCTAGACGCCGAGGAGTGGCTGCATGGCTTGCAGACAGCAGAGGATGGTAAGGGGGAACAGGCCAGTTGCTGCTGTGGTGTGGTAAATGCCAAACTCACCTGTGAACCTGTAACACCCAAAGTCCCTGCTAGCATCCACCATAGTGTTCATCATACACTTGGTTTTCACCATGTTTCTGTTCCCATCTGACCCTCCATCAATTAACCTTGTCTGGGTGATGCTCATGGTGACACCAGTGGAGTGGCACTGAGTGAATTGATGTAGCTGCTGTAGCCCCTATGCTGGAGGGGTTTCCCAGCCAGATGGGGCTGAGGCTGGTGGATGTGGGCATGAAGAGTATGGATGATGCTCTGGAATGAGCCGCTCTGACCTTCATAGGCTGTTGTGTGCGGAAGAGAGAAAGGGTCGGCAACCTGCCTCCACTTGGGAGATTTGGCTGAGCATCTTTGGTGCACATGTGATGGTGCAGAAACTGATGGTACAGTGCCTGAGATGGTGGGGAGGAGCCACTGTGTCCCCAAGCAATCTGAGTGGTGTTTTCCCGAAGCTTTTGACCCTGCCTGGGCAGAGGTGTTCCAGTGGGTGCCAGATTGAGGCCTTGTTGCTGTGGATAGGTTGTTCAAGGGGGCCTTGGCCCATCACAGTGTGATGGACCCACCTTGTTCTTAAACCATGGCAGGGTGCAAGTTTCGCTGCTCCCCTTGCAATCAGGCCTGGGTACATTCTCCTCCTTCATGATCCAGTGTTGGTCATCTTCACAGCCTTCCCATGAGTCTGCTCTGCCTCTGCTGCACCTGTAGCCAGTATTTGCACTGCTGTGACTGAATACTTATATATCTTGGCCTTCTTTTGCTTCGCCTGCGGTCTTCTTGCAGGCTGCACCTGGACTTCTCCAAGGTGTCTGCTTACCTGCAGCCCCAGTGGGAGACAGGGGCTGCCTGACCTCTCCACAGCAGCAAGAGGATGCTCAGTTTTAAGTTTTTCCTGTGGTCACATGCTGCAGCCAGGCAAGGTGATGTTCCCAAGCCTGATGTCTGGAGGACTGCTCCAGCTGAGCCTTCAGGTGTTGGCATGAGGCATCTCCACCAGGTGTGGAAAGGGGATGTTGTGCTGTTGGCCTCAGATGCAGTCTGCTGCTCACCTCCTGGGGCACACATACCATGGAGCTTGTCTGCCAGCTGGAGAGCAGCAAGGCTTTGCCCTGGCCTACTGGCTGGAAGTACATAGACAGCTCTGTGCTCATTGCGTTGCCTTGGCAGGGGGCATTCTCCCCCCCAGGACATCCCCCTCACTGCTGAGCAGTGCTGTTATCTTCCAGCTGAGCAGAGACGTGGTGTCTGAGCACACTCCTCCATACCACAGTTAGTGAGTGGTGGCTCTCGTGCTCCTGATGTGGCATTGGGAGCAATGGGAGCTGCTGGAGGCTGGACAAAGAGCGAGGCTGGACAAAGAGCAAGGCAGGAGTTGTAACTCCTCCTCTTAACTCCTAATTAGAAGTAACTGGTAATTTCTAATTAGAAATAACTTGCAAAACCCACCCTGCAGTGCTCCTGTGCTGGAGTCCTGCTTGGATGAGGCTCTTGCTGTGTGGGGGTGCTTCTAAGTGGTCTCTGCTTGGACAGGCTGCCCCTGGCTATGACTTCCCTTCTTCCCTGGAGGGAAAGAGTGCAAGGGTTTCACCGTGGGGTTTGAGCAGACTCTGCTGTGCTTGTGCAGGCTTGGACCAGACACATGCTGCAGCCCCATCCCTTCCTTTGCCCAGGTGGGACTCGGAGGGAGCTCCACTTTGGCCCCAGCTGGCAGCCAGTGCCCCAGGCAGCAGAGTAGTGCAGGAATAGGAGTGCTGTGGCTGCTGCGCTTTGTGAGCTCTGCTGCTAGCACTGTTCTGTCCATCTGGCTGTCAGTGCTAGCCCCACATTGTTGCTTTGTTCAGCCAGCAAAGCTTTGCCCTTGCAGAGGCACAGCTGGGGAGCTCTCTGGGGGTACCCTGGTGCAAAGTGGCTGAACCCCCGCCTCTTCTGCCTGCCCTTCCAGCAGACACATATGATGAAGTTGCTCAGTATTTGGACCACCTGCTGCAGCGCACGGTTCCCCAGTCGAACCTCCCTCCTACTGCCCAGCGGGGAGGGCTGAGCCGTTTCCGGGCTGCTGTCCACACCACCCGTGATCTCATGTCCCTGGCGTCCAAGGCCAAGGACCTTCATGTCCAGGGTGAGTATCTCCAGTGCCCTCAGCACCTTTGCTCAAGCCCGGGGGTGAGGCTGAGGTGCTTTGGGAACTTTCCCAGCTGTGCGATGCTGGGAGCCCCATGGATTGTAAAGCAACCCAGCCTTTGCCTGGGCAAAGGCACATTATGTTCATCATGTTAGTCCTGGCCATGGGGTATTTTGGAGTTGGTACCTGTGCAATCCTTATGGAAACTGCTGAATGATAAGGGACGGCAGCTCCCCGTGGCCTTCCTCAAACCGGGTGGGCAAGGGCTGCTTCTCCCACAGCTGACTTCTCTGCAGGGGCTGCTGAGGGAGCAGAGTGTCAGATGTGAGGTGGTTTGGGGCACAGCAGTGGTGGTTGGGGTTGAGAAATGTCTGCACCAACCTTAGCTTTCTTTTAGATGTTGGGATGTATGTCCCCAGCAAGATCTTCCAGGTGTCCCAGCAGTCAGTTAAGCTGCTGAGTTCACCTCACCAGCATGACGTGGATGGCAAGGTGAGCCCTGTTCCTCCCAGACTGGCCAAGCAGTGCCATCCTTTCAGCTGGAGCCAGAAGGTCCTTGTGGGGCTGCATGGGGAAGGCTTGGTGTTTGGTGAGGGGGAATATCCATGGGTGTGAATGGTCTTGGCTCCATAACCAGACCGCACTTGGTGCAGGGTGCTTCCAGTGCTAACCAGGAGCATGGGTCTCCCTTTCCCCAGAGCCACGTACTCTATGCAGAGATGAACCTGCCCCGTGATGAGGGTGGCAATGTGGACTGCAAGGCACTGGTGGACCAGCTGCGCGTCTGCCCCACGCTGCAGGAGCAAGCGGACATCCTCTACATGCTCCACATCCTCAAGTACGATGAACTCCAAGTCCTGCTGGCTCACTGAGCAGAGAGAGCCAGCACAGCTGTGCATGTGTGCCAGCCTGCAAAGCCTGGGGTCTTTCAGGGAGCCGCTGCAAGGCAAATTGCTGGCTATAGCCTGGCATCTCTTTTACTGCAGGGGGCCCGAGTGGCACACGGGGCTTGATAGTGAGCCTGGCCCCACCGTCAAGGAACTCCTCACGGAGCTGTACGTGCGGGTGGGGGACACGCGCCAGTGGGCCCTGATCCGCTACATCTCTGGCATCCTCAAGAAGAAGGTGGAAGCTCTGGATGAGGTAACAACTGTGCAGCTGGCCTCTAGCGGGCTGGGGTCCATCAAGGAGGAGGCAGCAGAGTGGACAGGCAAACTGTGGCTGCATCAGCTCTGCCTCCCTCTGCCTTGTGCTGAGGCCCCAAACCCTGAGCTGTTGGTGATGACTGGGGTGTGACCTTTCTGTCTCCAGGCCTGTACTGACCTTCTGTCTCATCAGAAGCACTTGACAGTGGGGCTTCCCCCAGAGCCACGTGAGAAGACGATTTCCGCGTGAGTGTGGCACCTCTCTCCCCATTCTTGCTGGGCTGGGGCTGAATGTGAGCCTGCTGCTCTGGAGGCCGTGGGCAGGAGTGGCTCTGGGTGGCTGTACCCAGCTTTTATCTCCTTTTTGGGCTGTACAGACCAGGAAGGATGCAGGGCTTGCTCTGCTGCCTTTCACCCGCTCTGCTGTTCCCTCCCCAGCCCAATCCCCTACGAGAAGCTCGTTCGCCTCATTGATGAAGCCAGCGAGAAGAACCTCAGTGTGTCCATCCTCACCCAGGTGAGGGGCCAGGGTAGCAGGGGAACCTACAGCTGTCTACCCTGGTGAACAGCAGTAGGGTGATCTGCCTCTTCCCCTCCAGGAGATCATGGTGTACTTGGCCATGTACATGCGCACACAGCCTGCACTCTTTGCTGAGATGTTCCGCATCCGCATCGGGCTCATCATCCAGGTGATGGCAACAGAACTGGCACACTCCCTGCACTGCTCGGGTATGTGCAGCACAAATGGCACCCTGGCTGGGGTGGGTGCTGCAGTGCTTGGGGCCCTGTCAGCCAGGAAGAAGTGCTGTTAAAAATGGACAGCTCAGTGCCAGGACAAGACCCTGCGTGAAAGTCCTGGGGTCTGCAGCTGGGACTGTTCTTGGGCAGCACAGGTGGATGATTTCAGTGCAGCCTCTATTAAGGCATGTGTTTGGCTGGCATAGGGAATAGTCCTTGTTGTAGGCAATGCCTGGAGTTAGTGTACATCCTTGGAGGATGAGCTCCTGTATCAGTGCTTCCCTTTCTAACAGAATGGGGTGCAGGGTAGAAATGTCCCAGGAGTGCTGTGAAGTGGGGTACAACATCCCAACTCTGTTCTCTCCAGCTGGAGAAGCCACTGAGAATCTGATGAATCTCAGCCCATCAGACATGAAGAGCCTCCTCTACCACATCCTCTCGGGCAAGGAGTTTGGAGTGGAAAAGAGTGGTGAGTGTCTCAGCAGGGTTGTGAGAGCATCTCTGGGCAAAGCTGGATCTTGATGCAGAGCATGACCAGCTCCAGGTGTTCCCACCTCTGGGGGACGTCCCTATCCTCCCACGTGTTCAGCACAGCTGCTTCTGCACTGCAGTGGTCCAGTGAGAAGCCATGTTCTTCATCAGGGTGGTGCTGAGCTGATTTCCAGGGATCAAGCCAGAGTCCTGTGGCTACTGGGACTTTGCTTAATTCAGCACTTGGCCCAGTCAGGCCTGAATTGAAGCAGTTCTGGTCTGTGCTCATGGATCTCTGGTGCTGGTTAGGGTAGAGAGCAAGGGTGTGCAGAGGTACCAGTACCTGAGCAGAGAGAAGGGACATCCGTGCCCTGAGCCACGGCACCCACTCTAGACCTCTCTTCCCCTCCAGTGCGATCGGTCGACTCATCACTCACCACCGCTATCTGCATTTGTGAGGTGGGGGCTGTCGGGGCCACCAAGCCTGAGCGTGCTGGCATCGTCAGGCTAAAAAGTGAGATCAAACAGGTGAGGGCAGGTGGTGCAAGCTGCTCCTGCTAGGTTTTGTGGATGACAAGCAGCTACAGGACAAGCAGGATTGATGGGAGAGCAGGACGGAGAGCTCACTCCTGGGCTTCAGAGTGCTTACAGCTGCTTCCAGGAGCAACTTTTGACTCCAGTCCTGTGGGGGAGAATTGGGGTAAATCTGGTAGTAGGGGTGGGGATTGCTCTGGCAGTGCGGTACGGGGGGAGCACAGGATTGCTTGAGAAGGTGCAGGAGTGGGGAGGACCACGCAGTGTCCCAGGCATGGTTGGTGTTCTGGTGGGCCACTTCCAGCAGCAGAAACTTCGTTTTCTTCTTCTCTTGCAGCAACTGGATAAACGTAGGCAGTCTCTGACTGGGAGTAAGGTGAAGCCACCCTGGTCTTCCTGCAGCCTCAGCTTTTATCCCTCATGCCACACATCCGGGCAGCTTCTGAGCATGCATGAATTATTGAGCTCTCCTAAACAAATCCATTGAGCCAGATGCTGCAGCAATGATCTGGCTTCCCCTCAGCAGGCTCAGGGTTGCTCTGTTCAGGATGGGGAAGGAGGCTGGCTTCCTGGGAGGAGCTCGGCATTGCTTAATGTGCTGTGGGGACCCAGGCCTGGTGCTGCACCACAACCTTTGGGGAGCTTCCCTTTGAGTGGGATCTGCTGTGTTTGGACTGGCAGGGAGGAAGGCTTCTCTAAACCATGGGTGTATTGGCATTCCAACCAGCTGGGAAGCTGTGCTCCATAGCTGCTATGGCCAAATAGATTCCATTATACCCACAAAAACTTGCTGAGCAGGATGGCATGATGTTTCCAGTGCCATGACCAGCAGCGGCCCTGCAGGGCAGTTCACTGGAGATCACCGGATCCTGCCTATAGGCTCCCTAGCTGTTTCTTCTTTGGGAGAAGAGGTTCCTGCCCAGCTACAAATGACAAGGACCTGCTCTGGTGCTTGGCGTGTGTCCAGGAGTTCTGAGCTCTAGGAATGATCCTGTCCTCAAGGAGGCAGGGACTGTTGTGGTTTATGGCTAACCTGCTGCAGTGTGAAACCTGGCATCGCGGAGGGACCATACATGTAGCAAGGAGGGTTGTCCATAGGCAACTGCTGCTGGCTCTCCAGTCTGCCTGAGAAGAAATCCCTGCCAGCAGCCAACAGAGCAGTAGCAGCCCTGCTCCTATATGCCAGCTAGCACAAGCCTGCTGCTGCCACAGCACTGGCGTGTGGGGGCCCTGCAGCCACTCTGTGCACTGGCACAGTCCTTCCCCTCTGATGTTAATGTGAGACTTTCTGCAGCTCGCTTTTCAAAACTACCTCTCAATCTCCAGCTAACTGCAGCCCCTGTGATAACTGCCCCATGACCTGAGCTTGGTCTGTGCTGCTGCTGCTCTCCTTGCCGTGATGGCTGCCCTGCTCTGGCACAGTCTGACTTTTTGTCTCTCCCTTTCTCCTTCAGCCCCTCAGTTTGCAGTCGCAGGACACCGATCTGAAGTCCTCTCTGGTAACCTGCATTTGTTGGCTGCATGCATGGGGTCTGTCCTGTTTGTGGCTGCAGAAAGGCTCTGTGCTCCAGCGATGCTGCAGGAGCTGGGGCTGCAGGGTGGGCTTTTCTGGGGGCTGTGTTCTTGTGGGGGTATTTAACTTTGCAGCAGTCTCTGCGGTCCTTGTTTTGTCTGCCTAGTCTGCTGGGCACTCGGAGCTGCTGGGCAAGGGCTCCTTTTCAAGCATGCTGGAAGACCAGGGCAGTAAGGACAGTCGCCAGGGCCAGTGGCAGCGGAGGCGGCGGCTGGATGGGGCCCTCAACCGTGTCCCTGTGGGCTTCTACCAGAAGGTCTGGAAGGTCCTGCAGAAGGTGAGCTGGACATCTTGCTGGCTCCTCTCCATGCGTGTGAGGCTGTGGTCCCAGGCACCAGCCCTGCCAGGGGGACTTAGTACCTGGAGCTGGTCCCAGATGTTGTGTAGATACATGCTTCGTGGACAAGGCCTGCAGCTGGCCCTGGAAAGCTGGGGAAGACCTTAAACTGCCTTGTCGGCACAGAGGACCTACCTCGTATTGTGCCGACCCTTGCAGAGGTGGGCTAGGTCTGCTCAGGCGCTTTAGATGTTGGGCAGGGCTGGACCCACAGCTGAAGCAGCTCCAGGCAGAGCTTGTCCTCTGCATGGTAAGCCAGGGAGCAGAGCCCTGTGCTGTGTGTGGGAGGGCTCTGGCTGACACTGAACGGATGGGAAAGGAGTGATGCTGTGCAAAGAGTCGGGAGGTGGAGCTGGGATGTGTGGGCAGCATGCACCAATGCTCAAGTGGGAGTGAGTTGGTGGACTGGACCTATGTGTCTTAGCACAGTGCTTTTCCAGGCCATAACCATGGTCCCTCCTTGTTCTGCAGTGCCATGGCCTTTCTGTGGAGGGCTTTGTTCTCCCCTCTTCAACAACCAGAGAGGTAGGAGGCTTTATGTGAAGGGGAAACAGGGCAGATATGTTGGTGTTGGGTGCTGGGTTGCCCTGCATGAGTGCCCAGCATAGCTCAGGACTTCTGCTGGCATTAGTGTTCTAGGTGCATTTCTTTCTCCCTCCTCACAGATGACCCCAGGGGAGATGAAGTTTGCTGTGCATGTGGAGTCGGTCCTCAACCGTGTGCCCCAGCCAGAGTACAGGCAGCTGCTGGTGGAGGCTATCTTAGTGCTCACCATGCTGGTGGACATGGAGGTACACACCATCGGTGGCATCATAGCTGTGGAAAAGATCTTGCACACGGCCAATGACCTCTTCTATGAGGAGCAGGTAGGGGCCATGGCCTGCACCCAGGGCTGCTGGCTGCGTTCCCCACAGCTACGCAGGGTTCACCCACCTGGAGGGTCCTGCTGGTTTTCCCCATTGTGTTCGCAGGGCACAGAAAAGATAGTGTCGTCCTCCTGCTGCTCACCATTGATGTACCATATTGCGAGTGCAATGGAGGATGCTTGGGGTAGAAGCTTGTGACAGGGCTGCCCTTATTCCTAATGTTGCCTTTCTCCTTCCCTGTCCAAAATGCAGAAAGCCCTGGGTGCTGATGACCACATGCTGGAGAGGGATCCCACGACGGGTATCTGCAGCCTGCTGTATGACAGTGCACCGAGTGGTCGGTTTGGCACCATGACCTACTTGTCCAAGTCGGTGGCCATGTATGTGTATGACTTCCTGCCGACCGACAGCTGTTCCATGCAGTAGCTCTTGCAGGTCCTCTCCCCGGGTTGCAGACACTGTGGGAGAGCTGTTTCAGACAGCTTTTAAAGATGGGCATTAAGCTAGTTTTCAGGTAGCCTGCGTGGCCATCTCTCTTCCCAGTCCTGTCCTCTTGATGGGTGAGAGGCTCTCCCAAGGAGCTCCACAGGAGGCATGTGTGCTGAGCTGACCTGTGCCTGCCTGCAGCCTGTGAAGCAAGGGCTGGCAGGGAAAGGCTGAGCTTTGAAGCCTGCTTGTATTAGAAGTGTTTGCCTGCACACCTCCTCCTGGGCCGTCACCCCAGGAGGGGCCTGTGTTTGAGGGAGATGGAAAGGGTCCCCCTCACCAGGCATGTGCTCAGCACTGCAGCACTCCCTGAACAGCTCATGCTCTCCCTGCCTCCAGTAGATTAGAGGTTTCTAACCTATTCTGTGCTGCTTTTCATTCCATATCTGCAGGGTTTGTACTAGTGTGGGCTGGAGCTCTTGTTTTTCCTGCTGCTGATAGAAGAGCTTTGTTAGAGGAATAGAGAATGCTGCCTGAGCCTCTCTCCTGGCACACCCAAAATGGAAACAGTCCAACCCAGCCCCAGCTGTGCTGCTTGGAAGTAGGCAGCCCATCATGCCCCCCTCAGGGGTCCTGTGTGCAGAACTGGGGAGGCTGTGGGAGCCAGGAGCTCCCAGAGCTAGGAGCAGGTGGTAACAGGGATCTGTTACCACCAGGCTGTGAGGACAGGGCTTCTGGCTGGCTGGGGGATGTCAGTGGCAGCCACTCCATGCTGTCTGCTCTGTCCCTGGCAGCATTGCTCATGGCTAAGTCACAGATTCCCAAGTCATATGTGCCCCATGAAGCAGCTCTGAGCTGGGCTGCTTGGCTCAGCATTAGCTGTGCTATCACAGATATGCTCTTAATGCTCAGCTCTGGCCTCTGCCCCAGTTTCCACAGCCTTGCACAAGAGAGGGGTGATGACTTCAGAGTGGGTCCCAGCTCTGCTCTATCTGCAGGTCAAACCCCACAGAGGATAGTGTGGTTGGACTGATGGGGAACAGGCACACACACCACAAAGTTTTTTGGTGAGCAGGATTATAGAATCATAGAATATTTTGTGTTGGAAGGGACCTTTAAAGGTCATCTAGTCCACTCCCCAGCCCCTGCAATAAGGGGGACATCTTCAACTAGATCAGGTCGCTCAGAGCGCCATCCAACCAGACCTTGAATTTTTCTGTGGATTTGGGACATCTACCACAATTCTGGGCAACCTGGTCCAGTGTTTTCACCACCTTCATTGTAAAAAATTCCTTCCTTAGACCTAGTCTGAATCTACCCTCTTTTAGTTTAAAACCATTACTTCTTGTCTCATCACAACAGGCCCTGCTAAAAAGTTTGTCCCCATCTTTCCCATAAACCTCCTTTAAGAAGGGCTGCAATAAGGTCTCCCTAGAGTCTTTTCTTCTTCGGGCTGAACAGCCCCAACTCTGTCAGCCTTTTCTCACAGGAGAAGTGTTCCATCCCTCTGATCATTTCTGTGGCCCTCCTCTGGACCTGCCCTAACAAGTCCATGTCTTTCCTGTGCTGGGGACCGCAGAGCTGGACATAGTACTACAGGTGGGTTCTCACCAGTGTGGAGTAGAGGGGCAGAATCACTTCCCTTTACCTGTTGTCTATGCTTCTTTTGATGCAGCCCAGGATACGATTGACTTTCTGGGTTGCAAGCACACACTGCCAGCTCACATCCAGCTTTTCATCCACCAGTATCCCCAAGTCCTTCTCTGCAGGGCTGCTCTCAATCCCTTCATCCCCCAGCCTGTATTGATACTGGTGGTTGCCAGGTACAGGACCTTGCACTTGGCCTTGTTGGAGCTCGTCAGGTTCACATGGCCCTGCTTCTTGAGCTTGTCCTGGTCCCTCTGGATGGCATCCCATCCCTCAGGTGTGTCAACTGCACCGCTCGGCTAGGTGTCATTCGCAAATTTGCTGAGGGTGCACTCAATCCTGCTGCTTATATAATTGATAAAGATATTAAACAGTACTGGTTCCAGTACGTACCCATGAGGGACACCGTTTGTCACTGGTCTCCATCTGGACATTAAGCTGCTGACCACTACCCTCTGGATGCAGCCATTTAGCTAATTCCTCATCCACCCAACAGTCCATCCATCAAATCCATCTCTCTGCAGTTTAGAGAGAAGGGTGCTGTGAGAGACTATGTCAAAGGCCTTACAGAAGTCCAGATAGATGACAGCTATAGCTCTTCCCTTGTCCACTGATATAGTCACTCCATTGTAGAAGGCCACAAGGCAAGACTTGCCTTTAGTGAAGACATGCTGGCTGTCTCAAATTGTCTCCCAGTACTCCTTGTGCCTTAACATAGCTTCTGGGAGGATCTGTTCCATGATTTTCCCAGGCACAGAGGTGACAGATTGGTAGTTCCCAGGGTCCTCCATCCTACCCTTTTTAAAAATGAGTGCAATGTTTCCCTTTTTCCAGTCATCAGGGACTTCACCTGACTGTCATGACTTTTATAATATCATGAAGAGTGGCGTGGCAACCACATCAGCCGATTCCATCACAACTCTGGGATGCATCTTGTCAAGTCCCACAGACTTACGTATGTTCACGTTCCTCAGGCAGTCACAAACCTGATCTTTTACAGTGGGATGGACTTTGTTCCCCCAGTCCCCATCTTGAGTCCATCCACTCACAAGGTGAGGGAAGAGAGGTTGCCAGTGAAGACGGAGGCAAAAAAGTTGAGTAGCTCAGCCTGCCAGTTTTGTTTATCAGGGAGTATGCCTCTTTGACCTCCCTTTTCTGACTGACATACCTGTAGAAGCCCTTGTTATTTGTGTCCCTTGCCAAGTTCAGCTCCAGCTGCGCCTCGGCCTTCCTGACCCCATCCCTACACAACTGGGCAGCATCCCTATACTGTTCCCAGGATACCTGTCCCTGCTTCCCCTGCCTGTGAATTTCCTTCTTGCCCTTTAGTTTGACCAGCAGGTCTCAACTCATCCATACTGGTCTCTTGCCTTTCTTTCCTGATTTCTTACACCTGGTGATTGAGAGCTCTTGCACTCTATGGAAAGCATTGTTAAAGATCTGCCAGCTCTGTTCTGCTCCCTTGTCCCTGAGGGTAATTTCTAGGGGGTCTTATTGACTGACTCCCTGAACAACTGCCAGTTTGTTTTCCTAGAACTCAGGATCCTGACTTTACTCTTTGCCTCACCCCTGTCCCTCAGGACTGCGAACTCCACCAGTGCATGATCACTGCAGCCCAGGCTGCCTCCAATCTTGATGTCACCAGTTAGCTCACTTGCGTTGGTGGCCATCAGATCCAGTATCACATCCACTTGGGTAGGGTTGTCTATTATCTGCCTTAAGAAGTTATCCTCAGTGCATTCCAGGAGTCTCCTGGATTACTGTGGTGAGTTGACCGTGACGACACCAGGCACCCATCAAAGCTGCTCTCTTGCTCCCTGTCCTCAGTTGGGCAGGGGAGAGAAAATACAACAAAAGGCTCATGGGTTGAGGTAAGGATAGGGAGCTCCTTCAGCAATTGCCATCATGGACAAAACAGACTTGACCTGGGGAAATTAGTTTAATTTATTACCACTCACATCAGAGTAGGATAATGAGAAAGAAAACCAAATCTTAAAACACCTTCCCCCCACCCCTCCCTTCTTCCCAGGCTCAACTTCACCCCTGATTTCTCTCCCTCCTCCCCTCTGTGGCACAGGGGGATGGGGGTTCCTGTCAATTCATCAAGCGTTGTTTCTGCCACTGCTTCCTGCTCAGGGGAAGGACTCACACTCTTCCCTTGCTCCAGCGTGGGGTTCCTTCCACAGAAGACAGTCCTCCATGAATTTGACTTGCCTTCCACAGCCAAAGCCTCATACTTGTTGTACAGAGGCAGCTGGGAAGGCGAGGTGGGTAAGGAGGGGGTTTGCCTGCCACTCCGAGCATGGACTTGCCTCCATTCAAGCCTTTCCTTTAAGCTACTGCCTTCAGCCTGGCAGGGCGAGGATACAGGATCCCCTTGATCTTGTTTTTTTTTTTTTTTTTTTTTTTTTTCCTGGTAGCTGTTCCTGTTTTCTGTCTCAGGGAGGGCAGAGCATGGTTTCACCAACTTACCTCTTTCTCAGACTCCCTGATGGTCCTTAACCTTTCTACTTCCTCTTGTAGCTCTGCCCCCCGACTGAGCAGACCATCTGTTTGGTTACACCTTACACAGCTGTTCTCGCTAGGGCAGTTGGTTACTAGTGAAAAGCTCTGTCAGGCTCTGCAGCCTGAGGCCTGGATGGCTGCATGTTTTCGTGGGAGCTCTCTCTGGGTTGCCACATCCATTCTGGCAAGTGCAGAGGACACAGCTCTCTGCCAGGTGTGATGATGACCACCCATTGAACTCGTCTCTTGAGCACCCTACCACATGAACTGCTGTGCAAACTGCCATACTGCGTTCTGTTTGCCCACTCTTTCTGCAGCACTCCTGGTTGCTAGTGCTCCCTAGGCTGCTCTTTATAGGTGTGGGGGTGGCCGCGGTCCTGCGTGCAAAGATCTGCAGCTCTGCTGTGAACCGGACCAGCTCTGGAGCAGTTCCTCTCAGGGACTGATGGTTTGGTCTTAAAGCCAGGCTTGAGAGTACTTCTGGGTTTTCTCTCAGGGCTGCTTCCTGACGGTAGCAGTTATTCTGTAATTGCCACACGCCGATCTTTCCACACATGGCAAACCCTGCTCTGGGCAGAGACTTGAAGAGGCTAAGCCCCAGCCCAACTTCTCAGTCCCAAGAAAGTCAGGAGGAAGCTGCATTTGGGGGTCAGCAGGGCTCTGGCTGAGTGCCGGGAGGCCCGGTAGAAACCCTTGGGCACCTGAGGCTGCTCTGGGGAGCAGGGCACAGGGCTGCACCCGCTCTGGCAGCAGGCCTTACGTCGCAGGTGTGTGCTTGCAGGCCTCGGGCCTTTTTAATGACAGCTTCTATGTTTTTAAAGAAGAAACACCACCCCGAGCTGCGTGGGGTGGGCGCCTCTAATAAAACGTCTTTAACGCGAGGGTGCGGCCTGCTGTCCTCACTCGGCCGGGCTGGGCAGGGAGGCACGGCGCCGGCCCGGCGCTCGCCGGTGAGGGGAGGGACTACAGCTCCCGGCGTGCCCCGGGGCCGGAACTGCCGGAGGCGGGGAGCGGGGCGGCGCCCGTCCCGGCGTGCCCCGAGCGGGCGGTGGTGCCGGGCGTCCCGGCGTGGCGGCCCTGATGGCGCGGGTCCTGCCTCCCGTCTACGTGTACAGCCCGGAGTACGTGGCCCTCTGCGACTCCCTCTGCAAAGTGCCCAAGCGGGTCAGCGCCGCGCCGGGGGCTGGCGGGGCCTGGGGGGTGGGGGGTGGTAACTGGCCCTGTGGGACCCCGGCGCGGGGCCGTTGGGAGCGCAGCGGTGAGGCCTGGGGTCGGAGAGGACCCCCGGGAGGCTGCCGGGAAGTCCGGGGGCTCTGGGGAGACTGTCGGCGGCTGGGACTGAGGGGGGGTGCGGAGAGCTTGAGGGAAGGGGCACCCCGAGCCCTGGGCAGGAGGAGTGGGGGCTCAGGGGCAGAGCCCGTCGCTCCCCTTGCACCGTCACTGTTAGAGCGGGAGCTGGTGGCCGGGTCACGCGTGGCGCTTCCCAGGCGCCTCCCCCGCCGAGGAGCTGTGTGCTGCTGTGCCTCTTCCACGCGCACAGACGAGTCCCCCGATACCCAGCCCGTCTGTGCTGGCCAGGGCCTCAGCTCAGGCTGGTGCCAGCGTGGCCGTGCCGCTGGGAGAGTTCACAGTTACACCTGCACTGCAAGCCGTTTAGCCCCTAGCCACTGTGCTTTGGTCTCCAATGCTAGAGCTGTTCTCACGGTCTTATTCTTGTTTTCTTTTTTTTTTTTTTCAGGCCAGTATGGTACATTCGTTGATTGAAGCGTATTCCTTACTCGACCAGATGAAGTAAGTGCTTCTGTTTTGTGTGAAGACAATACTTTCTTCTCTGCTGAGGTTTGGAAGATAGTAACAGCAGATCTTATACTGACCCTGCTGGTAGTGTGATTATAGGAGCCCACCAAGGGTGTATTTCTGGGATCTAAGGAAAGGCAGTTTGTTCTGCTAAATGGACAAGATTATGGTAATTATGGCAGGTATAATTTATGGCTGCCCTTCCTCTTCCAATGGATTACAAATTGCCATGTGCTTTGACTGTAGACCATGCTGTCACCTGTTGCTCTCGTGGCTCTGAGCGGAAGTGATGGTCTAGAAACCATCCTTGTTGGTGCTGTTCCCAATCCACTTGCCAGTGCTGATGCTGAGATGGACCATGTTATTCTGCTGTGTTGTGATTGATTTGGGAGACTTTTATGAGGCCTTGGTGCTGTTCAGGAGAGAGGACAAGATGAGGTCTGAGGTGGAAGAGTGACAACCCTCCTGCCCCATTAGGCTCTTGACATGGGGGAATATGACAGGAAAAAAAAAAGGCTTAGCTCATCCTCTCTTATGTAACATCTCATAAAATCTTTTAAAAAATCCCCTGCAGGGCCAGAAGTCCTATTGGGACTTTTTTTAAAAAGATTTTTTTTCTTTCTGGTCATTTTGGTAGAACGTGCTTGGGAGATGCCTGCAGGTACCATTACAAAGGCAGACCCAAAGGGCTGTTTGCACTGGCATGTGGTGAGAAGTGCCCAGCACCTGGACTAGTCTAGAGCTGGGATCTTCTTGCATTCTTCCAGTAGCAAGGAAGCTGTACTGCATTGCCTGTGTGGGCCCCAGAGTTTGAGGTTTGGAGAGGGCTTCAACATGTCACACGATTTACTTAGGCAGATTGCAAAGTGTGCAAACCTGGGAAGGGTGATGTGCAAGTTGCTGAGGACAGAGACTGTCCTCAGAGCTTCGAATGCAGGTGGTGTTAAGAGCATGTAAGAGGTGCTGCTCAGCTCTTGACCCAGTAGGCTGGTGTCCTGCTGCAGCACTGGGCTGGGCCTGGATGTTTTCACACTGTTATTTCCTCTGTGTGTAACCAGAACGTTGAATATGCTAGGGCTTGCTCAAACTGGGAGAACATGCAAAAAAGGGAAAAGAAAAACTTGAAGCAAAGTGGAAGGGTTAATGCAGGCAGCACCTGCAGGTGTTCCTCGCTGGGGTGGACACAGCAGACAGTGGCCAAGCTGGGGGAAAGACTTACTCCAGATCAGCTGTGTGGCTTTCTCACTCAAAGTGTGTCCTGGTTTTGGCTGGGATAGAGTTAATTTTTCTTCTTAGTAGCTAGAACAGTGCTGTGTTTTGGATTCAGTATGAGATTTGGTATGAGAAGAATGTTGATAATACACTGATGTTTTCAGCTGTTGTAAGGACATCAAGGACTTTGTAACTCCCCGTGTGCTGCCCATGTGCAGGTGTACAGGAAGCTGGTAGGGAGCACAGCCAGAGCACCGAACCCAAATTGGCCAGTGAAATATTCTATATCATGTAACATCATGCTCAGTATTTAAAAGAGGGTCAGCTGGGAAGGAGGGGCTTCTCTCTCGCTTCTGGGATTGTGGTTTCTGGATCTTGTTTTTTTCGAGATTGCTAGCCAGGAACGGGTTGGCTATCAGTCAGTGGGTGTTGAGCAATTGCATTGTGCATTACCTGTTTGTACTTTCTATTATTGTTTTAATTCAATTATTACACTTTTTATTTCAACCTGTGAGTCTCTCTTTACCCTCCAATTTTCTCCCCCATCCTCTGGGTGGAGGCGGGTGAGCGAGTGGCTGTGTAGTGTTTGGCTGCTGGCTGATTTTAGACCATGACAAAGTGACAGTTCGGTGTGAGAGAAGGAGCGGGTTTGTTTGCTTTTTCAACCGTAACTGCCAAAGGAAGGCTCCTAGTCTGACAAGGTTAAAGCTGGGCATACCAGCTGAACCCTGGAGCCTCTTGTCCTGATGTGCTCCCTTCCTCCTTTCTGCCTAGGATAGTCACGCCAAAAGTGGCTTCCATGGAGGAGATGGCAAGCTTCCATACGGATGCCTACCTGCAGCATCTGCAGAAGGTCAGTGAGGAGGGGGATGATGACCATCCGGAGTCCGTGGAGTATGGACTGGGTAAGAACACGTATCTTCAGCAAGAGATTAAATGAGTATCAGTTCCAGGATGTTTTTTTGCTGGAGCCGAGGTTAGACAGAGGAGTGAGCTCAGGTGTGCTGCTGGGCTGTTTGTGGAGGGAAGCACTCTGATGGGGCGTTGCTGAAGCCGTCAGCCAGTAGTCGCCCGTCAGGCTGGTGTTTTCACTGTTGCCAGCAGAGGGTACTGTCAGCCTCTGCTGCTGCTCTGTGCAGCAAAGCCTGTCCTTTGCCTACTGGGATCCAGTGCCTTTTGCTGCTGCTTTGAGGATCTCGGGCTGGATAGAAGGCCCTGACATGCTGTGCTTGGAATACAGCTGAGACTGGCTGCTGCGAGCTTGCTGTGGTGGAGGGCATGCATGAACAATGGCCTGAAGCTACAACCAGGGACCAGAGTGGCTGCTGTTTGCCTGGTGACTTTGCTTACATCTTGAGCAGAGGGCTCTTGACTGGTCTTAAGACAGCCTGAGCAGTGCAGTAGTTAAAGCAGGCAAGGTGGGCCCTTTCTTAGTCTCAGGAACAGGAGTGACCCAGCACTGATGCGGTGGTGCAGATTCTGCACTGATCTCATGAGTTTCCCCTAGATCTGCTCTTTAAATCTCTGAAGCTGATCTGTGCAGGCAGAGGGGTGGCCCTGGAATCACACCTTGCTGGGGAATGTCTCCAGGGAGGCTGCTTTAGGAATAGGTGAAGATCGTATTCTGGCTATAGACCTGCAGTGTACCTAGGCCTGTCTCCTTTGTGGATGTCTGTTTTTAGGAGGGAGGTCAGTGACCATGTCAGGCTTTCCTCATAGTATAGCCAGAGAACCAAGAGCCATTTTGAAAGATTAGTATGAAGGACCAGTAGGTCAAGCTAGCCAGGCACATAGACCAGAAGCTGGCTCAAGACCCATTTATGAATGATCCGAGTGCAGGGAAACGATTTGATTGTTGATTTTTTTTTTTGTGGTGAGTTAACCTTGGCTGGCTGCCAGGTGCCCACCAAGATGTTCCCTCTCTCCCCCTCCTCAATAGGGTAGGGGAGAAAATACTATGGAAAAGATCATGGGTCAAGATAAGGCCAGGAAGATCACTCGCCAGTTACCATCACGACTAAAACAGAATTGACTTAAGGAAATTAAATTAATTTATTGCCAATTAATAGCAGACTAGATAGCGAGAACTGAAAACAAAGCTAAAATCACCTTCCCCATCATCCACCCTTCTTCCCAGACTGAACTTCACACCCAACTCTTCTACCTCCCTCCTCCCTGAGGGGTGCAAGGGGGATGGGGAATGGGAGTTGTGGTCAGTTCATAACACTTTGTCTCTGCTGCTCCTTCATCCTCACATTCTTATTCTGCTCCAGCATGGGATTGTCTCTCATGGGAGACAATCTTTCACAAACTTCTCCAACATGAGTCCTTCCCACTGGCCGCAGTTATTCACGAACTGCTCCAATGTGGGTCCCTTCCACAGGGTGCAGTCCTTCAGGAACAGACTGCTCCAGCGTGGGCCCCTTTCTCCACAGGGTCACAAGTCCTGCCAGAAGCCTGCTCCAGCGTGGGCTTCCCACAGGGTCACAGCCTCCTTTGGGCACCCACCTGCTCTGGCGTGGGGTCCTCCATGGGCTGCAGGTTGGATATCTGCTCCACTGTTAATCCCCATGGGCTGCAGGAACACAGCCTGCCTCATCATGGTCTTCACCACAGACTGCACAGGAATCTACTTTTGCACACCTCTTCCCCCTCCTTCTTCACTGACCTTCCTGTCCACAGCGCTGTTTCTGTCACATATTCTCATTTCTCTCTCCTAGCTGCTGTGCAGCAATTTTTACCCTTTCTTCAATATGTTATCGCAGAGGCACCACCAGCATTGCTGAGGGGCTCAGCCTTGACCAGCGGCAGGTCTGTCTTGGAGTCATCTCTGTCTGACATGGGTGCAGCTGCTGTTGTCTTCTCACAGAAG